GACAACCCTGAGATACCACCTTACCCCAGTCAGAATGTCCCACATCCACAAATCAGCCAACGACAAATGCTGGAGGGGATGTGGAGAAAGAGGAACCCTATTACACTGCTGGTGGGAATGTACACTTATACAACCACTTTGGAAAGCAGTCTGGAGGGTCCTTAGAAAGCTAAAGATTGACCTCCCTTACGACCCAGTCATACCACTTCTAGGCATCTACCCTGAACAACAGGAACCAATATACAAGGACACGTGCACCTCCATGTTTATTGCAGCATTGTTCGCAATAGCTAGGATATGGAAACAACCTAGGTGCCCCACCACAGATGAATGGATCCAAAAATTGTGGTATCTATACACAATGGAATATTATGCAGCCATTAGAAATGACAAAATAATGGCATTTGCAGGGAAATGGATGGAGCTAGAAGGAATCATGTTGAGCGAGGTAAGCCAAGAACGAAGAGACAAACGGTACATGGTCTCCCTGATAAGTGGATGCTAAATCCAAAAGGTTAGGTGATACGACAAAACTAACAGGACTTAAGAAACAAAGAACTCCCGCTCATCTGGTTGAACCACTACTAAATATCCCCATGCTGCTGATCACAAATATGGTATATAACATGTGAACACTGTTATATATTACAGACTGTGGTAGACAATTTGCTCCAGGGAAGTTAGAATGAACTTGTGACTTTGAAATTATGTAATCATTTAATCACAATCAAAAAAAAAAAAAAAAGAACCTCGGGGAAGGGAGGGAGGGAGGGGATGGTAGGGGGAAAACAATGGAGGGGGTAACAATGTTCAAGAGGAAGTGTACTCATAACCTCACTCATGTAACTGTAACCCTCTGTATAGTAGCTTTACAATAAAAAAAAAAAAACAAAAAAACAAAAAAAAATAAAAGAAATCATTGGCAGGTATGCATTTGACAGAGAATATTCAGAATATATGGTGAACAAAAAAACCGCACACAAACAAAAAGCTGAACAAATCCAATCAATAAAATGTAATCAGACAAATGGTCAATAAATACATGAAGAAATATTCTGTATCTTTAGCCATCAATGGAAATGCAAATCAAAACAACATTGAGATTCCATTCCAACTCAGTCAGATTTGCAATAACCAAGAAAACAAAACAACCACCACCAAAATATGAGAAGAAAAAAAATGTCAGAAGAAACTTGTATATCATTGGTGGGAACATAAAGTAGTCCTTTCTTCCTTAAAATTCCTCATAGAATTCCTCAACAAACCCAAGATAGGGACACAGTGGTTTTATCTTTCTTGCAGTTGTTTTAAATGTACTTATAATGTACCATGTGATTTTTTTTTTGTTTCTTTTGTATGTTCTTCCCCCATGGTATAACCCCTGTTTTCACTGTATTTGATTCCAGTGCCCTGCATCTTGTATATACATTTTTCTAATTTGGGGAGGGAAAGGGAAATAACAAAATTCTGAAATAAGGATACAGGTTGACCCATTGTAACAATGAGATGTACAAGACACTATGTTGAAAATGAACTTTACAAATTGGGGGGGGGGGGGGTAGGGAGGAGTTGGGGAGATGAGGAGGGAAGGAATGGTAGGGGAAAAACAAAGGAGGAGGTAGCAATGCTCAATAGGAAATGTACTCATTACCTTACTCATGTAACTGTAACCCCTCTGTACAGTATTTCTATAATAAAACATATATAAAAAGACAGTGTGATATACATGTGTGCATGAGCACGCGTGCACATGCGTGCACACACGCATACACACACACGTGTTTTTCAGCCATAAAGAATAATAAAAGCATGCTATTCACAGAAAAAAAGAATGGAACTGGAAATCAGTGTGATAAACCAAATGAACTAGACTTGGGAAAACAAATACCAATTTTTTTCTTAAATGTCAGAAAAAAATTACATGAAATTAGAGGAGGGTTTTTAATAAGAAGAGAGTGGAAAAAAGGGACAAGAGATGGTAATGAGGGTCAACATAATCAAAGAACATTATGTGTGTATGAAAATGTCATAACAAAACCAATGGCTTTGAACAATTATATGCTAATATATTTTAAATTTCACTATCTAATCATAATAAGATCTTTCAGTCAACTAAGAATACAAGGGAACTTATATTCTTGGTAGTGGTATTATATTCTTATAATGAATATACACATAAACCCAGATAATACTGTACTTGATTGTATACTACTAACATTTTCTACAGCTGACTGAAAATGAGACAAGAATGTCCATTCTCATCACTTTAATATTGTACTGAAAATGCTAGCTAGAGTAATAAGGCAAAAAACAGAAGCAAAAGTCATAAAGAAGTAAAAAAAAATCTGGACACTGGTGATTCATGCCTGTAATCTCAGCTACCCAGGGGGCTGAGATCTGAGAATTATGGTTTGAAGCCAGCCCAAGCAGACGCGATATCCTTCAATCAACCAGCAAAATGCAGGATTGGAGGTGAGGCTCAAGTAGTATAGTGTCAGCAGTGACTGAAAAAGCTGAGCTACAGTGCAATACCCTGACTTCACGGGGAAAAAAAAGATCCAAAAGAAAGAAGCAAAATGGAGCATATTTACAAATAAATGAGATTATTTTTATAGATAACCATAAGAAATCCTCCAGTTACTATATCTAATAAATCCAGAAAAAGTACAGAATAAATATATCTCTAAAGGTCACATAATACATTATTAATACAAAGGTCAATTATGTTTTTATGTACTAGCTGATAGTAACTGGGAAAGAATTAACAAAAAATATTCTTTAACTAGACCTCCAAAACATAACGCACTTAGTAATCAGCTTAGTGGAGGATATACAAGACATTGGTAATAAAATCTACAAATGGTTGCAGTGAAAAATTAGAGAGACTCAATTAAGTGAAGAGACCTGCCATGTTCATGGATCACTACACTTAATATTATTAAAACCTTTATTTTCCCCACATCAATCAACATATTAAATGTCATTCAAGTCAAAATTCAAACCTAGCATTTGTCTAGAAATTAGCAAGCTGAATTTAAAATCTGTGTGGCTATGTAAAGAACCTAGAATAGACAAAATGATCTTGAAAAAGAAACTTTGTTAGATGATTCACAGTATCTGATCTATTCACTGTATCAAGATCTATTAATAGTGCTACAATAATCAATTGATTATTACTCTATAATCAATTATAGAGTAAATATTTTATATTGGTGTTTATAAAGGTAATTGATTTTTCAACAAAGTTTCAAAAATTCAATATGGAAAATAGTCTCAGAAAAAGTAAGGGAAACAGAGACAAGATCTCACTTATAATTGAATTTTAAATCAATGGATTCAAAACAGAGAAGAGAATCATGGTTCCTAGAGGGTGGGGAATGTATGATTGAGGAGTTCTAATCAAAAATTACAAAACTAATTAAAAGGAAAGAACAAAATATTTTATTTTTCCTTTGAGAAATGTCAAGCAGCATAGGTGATATGGCACACAATAATATACATTTCAGAATCAATCTAATTTTGTTTTTGGTCGGTTGTGGGGCTTGAACTCTGGGCTTGGGCACTGTCCCTGCGCTCTTCAGCTCAAGGCGAGCGCTCTACCGCTTGAACTACAGCGCCACTTCCAACATTTCATAATCAATAGTGAATAAATGTGAAATGTTTTTACCACAGCAGTGGCAAGAATTTGAGATAAAAGATATGTTAATGACTATATAATTTCTGCATCTTGCATTCATAAATCAATAGTATTATTTTGTAGACCTAAGTAGCTTTTCAATTTACAATTATAAATAAAACTTTCCTAGAAATGAAATAAATAGTATAGGAGTAATCAGATATTCATATATAAAACAATGAACTCAATTCTAATTATCTTTGCAAAATTGAAGTTTTCTTACATTAACCACATGGGAAAAAGTGTAAAACTTAAAACTCTCAAAAACACAATTAAGAAAACTGGCAAGGTACAGTTCTGGATTTTTAAAAAATTGCAATATTCTTATCTCATAAAAGAGATATTTCCAGAAGTTACTAGGATTTTTGGAGCTAGCACATAACTCAATTTAAAATAAGAAAGAGTAATAGATGCTTTATAAAGAAATATACACAACTGATTAAGTAGCATGTAAGTGGCATTTGTGAAAATGCAGAGGGAGGATGGATGGTTGGATGGATGCATGCATGCATAGATGGATGGATGAAAGAAAGAAAGAAAGATGCATGAAAAGTAGATGTTTGGCAGGGCCAGATGTAGTTAAAACATAAACCGAGTTGCACTCTTTATCTCTCAAAGGAAAACTATAGGCAATTATCTCCTTAACCTAACTGGTCCTTGGCAGTATTTACAGTTGAACATTTTTACTGTACTTCAAACCACAATCTATTTACAGCAATATGATTCATTCCTGTCTTGGGGCATAAGTTAACTTTTCAGACTGCCCTATGGTTCCTTCCGTAGGGTTGTAGCTAATGGCTGTTCAGTTCCCTCCTCAATGTTTACAGGGAAGCTTGAGTCTTTGATGATGATACATGAAGCTGCCCTGACCAGTGCAAAGGAGGGCTTTGCTGTGTTATGCACACTCTTCTACATCTTCTCATTTTATCAAATGCATCCGGGGAGGATGACACCCTTCTATCTCCCTAGGCTTTCTAGAGCCCAGTCATGAGGATGTTTCTGGAGGACCACACCATAGGCGAATTGAGGATGGGATTCCCAATACAGTGAAAAATTTAGGATTCTGTCCTTGACAACTCCTCCTATATCCTTGTAATAATGTGCAAGATTTGTTATATGAAAACTGAGTCATGTCACCATGAAGACCATGTCAGTTTTGACAATGCTAATCTATTATGACTTTCACCTCGTTTTGCCTACTACCTTTCATTCTCTTACTATTAAAATAAACATTTATTCTCAACTAGAGAAGACACTTAGGAAATTACAATTCCTTGGTGCTTTCTATATTCTCAGGACTTGTGACCAAGAGGTTGTTTGTTACCTGAACAAGGGCATGGATCCGAAGGCCAGATTCTTTAATGAGACTGTAATATTTTTCCATTCGATCATGCTGGTCATCCAGAGAAAGTAGACATTCTCTTTTTCCATCTTTTCTCTTAAATATTGGAGTCACCCATGTTTTCATAATGTTTTGAATCTCTTCCACATTGCCTTTAGCCTTCTGAATTCTTTGCTCAAGATCGTGAATACTACTGGTGATTTGATTGACATAATCCCAAATGCCTGCTCCCCAAAAGAAATATGATTAAATGAAATACTGTGCAGTGGCGAGACCAAAGGACTATTAGCTGTGAAAGATGGAGATTTAATATCTGTCACTCATACAAGGCTTTTCTGCAAGGTACTTGTTAGAAAATTTTCTTTTCTAGTTTTATCAAAAAGCTAACCCTTCCCATAGTCCTGATAGTGGAAGAAGAAAAACAGAGGTAGGTAAGAAGCTCTGCAGTTTCATGCAATCCCATTTGTCCAAGCTTTCTTTGATTTGTTGTGTTTCTGGGTCTTTATTAAGAAAATTTCAGCCTGTGCCAAGGAGCCCTTTAACTTCTCTTATTCCTTCCTGTAATGTTTTCAGGGTGTCTGCTTTGACTTCTCAAAATGTGCTGCCAAGGTATACGGAACCCTGAGGAAACTGGACATAATCTGAACCCAACCTTAGGCAGGAAATAGAAGGGAGTTGTGTTGTTATCCAGCCTGTGTACCCCATAGCTAACCCCATGAATTCTAGTCTATAGTGTGGTAACAGTGGCTCACACCTGTAACCCTAGCTACTCAGGAGGCTGGGTCTCTTTCCAGCTCAAGCAAGAAAGTCAGTGAGACTTTTATCTCCAAATAACCTTCAACAAGCCAGAAGTAGAGGCATGGCTCAGATGGTCGAGTGCCAGCAATGAGCAAAAATGCTAATGGACAGCACCCAGGCCCTGAGTTCAAGCCCCAGTACTTGCACAAAAAGTATAGACAAATGAGGAGAAGAAGGTGAGAATGTAGTAAAAAAATGTGTGTTCTACAAATACTAAGAAAAAGTGAGGGAAGAGGTGGATTGGGAGGGATGGGTGGTAATGTTGAAGGCAGTGACACCAATCAAGGCACATTGCATTTCTGGACTGCTTTGTTGAATGGCAACAAAGTTCTACAACCAAGTTGAAGATAATACAAACATTAAAAAAATAATTCCATGCCACCCTCCATTTGTGAATTGGCAAAATTTTGAGATCTGCAAAAGTAACAGCCCATTGGATCATCCTAACATTACAATGATGTTTATCAGATTCTGGCCCTCCTCTCTTTCCTCCTGGTCCACTTTCAGTCATTCAACTTCATCTTGATTCTTAAGAAAATTGTTCCATTTCTGGAAAATACAACCTAAGGAATGGAATCTTCCTGGTTTTGTTTTCTGTATTTCTGGTTCTCCAAAGGAGGCTGTCAAGATTTGGAAATTTTTGTCACTCTATCTCCTGCTCACCTGATCCATCTGTTTTCATCATGCAATTTCTATAGCACTTGCAACGTGTTAAATGTTGAAAATGTCATTCCTTCTTACATATTGAGTAAAGTCCTAATTTGTGTGGGGTTTTTCTGAGTGGAAGCATGGTACTAGGGTTTCAACCCAGGGCTTCACACTTACTAAACAATTGCTTTATCACTTCACTTCAACCTCCAGCAGTTTGGACTATAGATATTTTTCAGATAAGGGTCTCACTTTTGGCTGGGGCTGTGTTATTCCTCCCCATACCTCCGGCACAGCTGGGATTTTTCAGACATCCACCTCCATGCCTGGCTACTTTGTTAAGATGAAATTTTGCTTGCTTGCTTGATTTATTTATTTACTTATTTTTGCCCGGGCCAGTTTCAAACTGCAGCCTTTCAGATCTTTACCTCCTGAGTAGGTGGCTAAATTGTTTAATATGAACAAAATTCCAGGATTTTTGGGTTTCTGTTCAAATTTCAACTTTTCTAAAGATTCTCATTTGTGATCATCTTTCTTCTCGGTTATTCTTCACACTTCATTTTTAAGTGTAAGTTGGCTGTTTTTCTGTTTTCTTTTTAAACTCACAGCCCATCTCCTGTGATTCTGGATGTACATCTGCATTTTCTTCATGAATCATGAGCTCTTTGAGGGTAAAGATTATGTCTTGTAAACATCATGTCTTATATTGCCCCTGTATCCTCTCATGGAATACTCCACCTTTGTTAACCATTCACTACAAGTTTACTGAATTGAACTGAAGGCTATCAGAGAAATCAATATGAAGTTTCTACTTTTAAGGGATTTACAGTCTAGGAAAGAACCCCAGTAATAATACAGTGATAGCTCTCATTCATGGAGTACCTAGAGAGGGTGGGGGCATCTTTCACAACCCCTAAACTTCCAAAGGACAGATAGCAAAGCTTCCTTATTCTGCCAGTTATACCCCAGACATCTTGTTTCTCTACTTAGACACATGTCCAAGATAGATTTGTTTGGGGCCCAAGTCAGATTACTAGTGAATCTCTGGGATTCTGTTAACTTTCTGCGGAGCCTTGAACCCCACACATCTGTCAGATTGCAGGTGATGCCCGGCTACCTTCTGTTTTCCAGTTCAGCGTCTCCTCTGCAGCTCTCAGGCAGAGATCAATATTTTGCAGCTCTTCCTCCACTAATGGAAATTCCACCTCGAGAAGAGTTTTCATAACCTTGTTGTACCAGTTTGCCATCAGTTCTAAATTAGCCACAAGCTGCCGGTAGAATTCCCTGGAGGAGAACATGGCCGCTGCGATCTTGGGGATGTGCTTCATCTGTCTGGGCTCAAGATAGCTCATTTCTTTCAGCACTGAAATCAGCTGGAGGAAAGAATAACACTGTTGTTCAGGGATGCTGTAGAAGGTACCCCATTATTCATTAGGTATTTTAAAATCCCAGGGATCCAAAGAACTTCTGGGCTTCCTTTACCTCTATTCCTATCAGTTCCTTAAATCTAGTCTCAGTAAAGGAAAACGAAATATTAAATGGAACGGTAATGACTCAGAAAGTGGTAGGTTGTTCAGATAGATCACTATTTGCAAGAGTGAAAGAAAGGACCCTGAGAAATACACCAGCAGTAAGAGCAGGGGAGGGCGCTGCCTCCTGTGTATCTAGGCATGCAGCTGTTGGGACATAATATACATTTAAGCTGCCTGGCCAGTTCTATTCAGAGGTGCTAGTCACCAGTCAAAACGAGGATCACCTAGCTAGCACTACCCACAGGCATGTGAAGCCTCAGATGCAGGCTTCCATCATACATACATAGTCACAGAGACACTGGCAAGATTGAGACAACCATGACGTTACTTTAGTTGTTGCATAAAATCATCTGGAGTCTCTCGGGATTTTTGTAGCTCTGAGTTGGCCCTTTTTTATGTTACAGGAACCAGAAAAGTGAGGTCAGCCAGGCCTCTCTGGACTCAGGTGGAGCTCACAAGTTATTGGCAAGAGAAGAATTGAAAATCCATGCTGATGTGATAGAGAGATGGTAGAGAGGCCTAGACCAGGTGACCGACCAGGCCTCCTTTTCTGGATTCTTGCCTATTTATTATTTCCTAGGAAACTTATCAGAATGGACAGATACAGGCACAAGTGACATAAGGTACAAAGTCATATTTTTTCCCCATGTCCTCCTCAGCAAAACACACACTGGCTCCTCTTTCTCCTCCCATTAATTCTGGGCCTGTTCTCAATAGCTGAGTGGTTAGTCCTACTTGGAATCCAGACAAATACTATTTGGAACAGAAATGAATGCAGTCTCTTAGTCTACTGTGAAAGAAGCTCACAATGGATATTGGAAATGTATACAAAGTACAAACAAAAAATAAATAAAAACTATGCATATCTCTTTGTATAATACTGAGATGGAGAAGACCATTTCAGATATAAAACCACAAAGCAAAACAAAAATTTATGTGCATAAAGTATCAAACACATAATGTAAACTGCAGAAATTATTCAAAACAGATATGCACTTATTTTATTTCTTAATATCTGACAAATAATTTTCAAATGTTCAAAACATTCTCAGGAAAGGAGGGCACTTTACCCACAGGCACCAATGAACAAACAAGCAATTCATAAAAATATAAACAGCCAGGGAACACATGACAGAAGTTCACTTTACTAGTAATCAAATAAATGTAAGTCAAGGGCGTATTTTAGAATTCAACAGCCTGAAACTATTTTAAGTAATAGACGAACAGCTCATGGGTGGGAGAATGATTGAGTTCTAGCTCCGAACAACAAGACGGTACTATGCATGGAAAGTATCAAAATGGGAATGCTCTTTAGGTAGGAAATTTATCGGCATGTCTGGAATCTATCCAATAGATGCTATCAACTCACCCTCCAAGTTTGATAAAACAAAATGTTTCCAGAGAGACAAGACTACCCTCAGTTGACAAGCACTAATTTAGTCCTATTTCCAAAACCATACCTTAAGGATTTATCATATGCTGTCTAATAAAGATAGATATTTGCAGGTTCATAGGTTCATGCTATCTCTCAACTAGGCTAGAAGCTCCTTCTAGACAGGAATTAAGTTCTGTACATTCTTTTTTTTTGGGGGGGGTCCAGTTGTGGGGCCTGAACTCTGGGCCTGGGTGCTGTCCCTCAGCTCTTCAGCTCAAGGCTAGCGCTCTACCACTTGAGCCACAGCGCCACTTCTGGCTTTTTTCTTTTTGCTTATGTGGTGCTGAGGAATCGAACCCAGGGCCTTGAGCATGCAAGGCAAGCGCTCTACCACTGAGCCATCTTCCCAGCCCCTAAGTTCTGTACATTCTTGTTGACACCTCCAGCCTCTTACTAGCATCCTTTACTCATAGTAAATATTTAAAGTTGGTTGTGAATGTTGGGTATTTAACAGTTGGGGCTATTTTACAATATGAGCACAAGCCACATAATGATATTTTGGTCAAATAAGGACCATGTGTATAATTATGGCTTTATCAGATATTATCACAGATTTTTTATCAGATTTTTATCACAGCTGTTTTAGCTTGTGTATATACAGCTATGACATTTGCATCACCTAGCAACACATTTTTCAGAAAGCATCCCCCTTATTAGGCAGCATGTGTCTATAATTCCTGTTGTAGTTTTGTCAAGTAAAATCTATTGACCAACCACAAAGAATAACATAAACATGTAAAACTTAAGAAAATACTCTATGTTGGGATCTTCCCCAAAAGAAATCCATGGTGTAAATTCCCTTGATTTTTATTTTTTCATATTTTTGTTTAAAAAACAGACAAACCACCAGGTGCTGGTGGCTCATGCTTGTAATCCTAGCTACTCAGGAGACTGAGATCTGAGGATTGTGGTTCAAAGCCAGCCTGGGCAGGAAATGCTTTTATCGCTCAGAAAACTGAAAGTGGTGCTGTGGTTCAAGTGGTAGAGTGCTAGCCTTGAGCTGAAGAGCTGAGGGACAGCGTTCAGGCCCAGAGTTCAAGCCCCATGACTGACAAAAACAAAACAAAAACAAAAAGCAACAACGAAAATCCAGACAAACCCCCTTTGCCCTGAAATCAGGAGATAAGTAAAATGTTTCAGGAACCCCAAAGGAAGTTATTGCCACTCAACTGACAGACCTGTGGGTTAAAGTTGACAGTGATCTGTTTTGTCTCCGGGTCTCGCTGCAGCAGTGGTTGGGAGAGATTGTACTGTGACTTCTCAGATACTGTCTGACACCAGTCCTCAAAGAGTCTTGTCTCATACCTGCAACGATCAGAGACAATAGCCCACTAATAAACACATTCCTGTGCCCCCCACTCCTGTGCATGCTCCGTAACATGAACTGAGGAAGCTGTCATTGATCTAGACAGGCTGAGTCAGCTCCTGCAGGTGACCAGTAGTTTCTAAAGGGGTCAGAGTTTCAATCAAGTAAGAATAGAAAGATTCCATATGATGTTTGGAAGGGATAAGGGAAGCTGTGATTAGTCTCAGTGCGTGTTGGAAAAAGATACTGAGTACCATTTGCTCTCACCCTTCACATAGCTCATGGACATTCATATTTTGCTCTTTCCACACTGACTGAACACCTCCTATGTGCTGGGCTTAGTGACCATCACCCTAATACAACTCAGTAAGGACTTTCTTACAGAAATATACAGAGCATCCACATGTAAGTGCAGAGAAAAGTGATGAGGAGAACATCAGGGAAGGTTCAGAGAGATGTTCTGGAATAAAGCCTGACTGAGTCTCAGAGGCTGAGCACATGAGGGGACATTGAAGTGGGAGGGGTGATGGGAAGCTTTTCTGACAGAAGCAATAGCATAGCTGACAAGTGGAGATGGGAAACAGCATGACTGTGTGCTGGGAGCCACTAGCAGACAGAATACTGTTTGAAGTGGGAAATGGGGAGAGTGGGACAAAGGCCACCCTGAGGGAGGGCTTCTGTGGAAGGATTCTGGCTGGTGGAGAAATAGTAACATTATTGGATTTGGTCACAGCATGGATCTCAAGGGACACAAATGTGGAAGTAAAGGAGGACTGCCAGAAGCTACGGTGGCAGCTCAGATCACAGCAACTCCAAGTTCTAGTGAAGATGTTGTGTGGTGGGGACAACAGGATTGGATACACTTAAAGCTATTTGGGATGTGAAAGAGGTAAAAAAAACAAAACAAAACACGAATTAGCTGGTGGGGAGGTGCCATCAATTGGCTGGTTTAACATCATGTCTAGCAAACTCTTGCTACATCAGAAGAAAAAGCAAAGCTGGGTGCCAGTGGCTCACACCTGTAATCCTAGCTACTCAGGAGGATGAGATCTGAGGATTGTGGTTTGAAGCTAGCCCTTTATTTTCAATAAACTACTCAGAAAAAGCTGGAAGTGTTGCTGTGGCTCAAGTGGTAAAGCTCTATCCTTGAGCAAAAAGAAGCTCAGGGACAGCACCCAGGTCCTGAGTTCAAGCCCCAGGACCAGAAAAAAAAGATATATTAAAAAAGAAAAAGAAAAAGAAAATGGCAGAAGAGAGAAGTCAAGACCACAGGCTGGTTTTTTTTTGTTGCTGTTTTTGTCGGTCTTTGGGCTTGAACTCTGGGCTTGGGCACTATCGCTCAGCTCTTCAGCTCAAGGCAGCACTCTACCACTTGAGCCACAGTGCCACTTCCAGTTTTCTAGTGGCTTATTGGAGATAAGAGTCTCTCAGACTTTTCCTTCCCGGGCTGGCTTTGAACCATGATCCTCAGTTCTCAGCCTCCTGAGTAGCTAGGATTACAGGCGTGAGCCACAAGCGCCTGGCCATGAGCTGTTTATTGACCCTCCATTCCCAGAGACTTAGTCAGTATTGAAGCAGAAACAACTATAAACCCACATGAAAATTTCTTTCTTCTGTGTTTTCCACAAATGGATGCAGGAAGTATTTCTGAGACATCTCCTGTCCATGCAACATCAACTATTGCTTTCTGCTCAGTGAGCAGCAACTGAAATTCTCCAAGACTCTGATCTCAGAGTGTCACACTTGGCACCACACTCTTTCTATCTCTGCAAGGTTCACATACCCAGGAAGGTTATATCAGGAACATAGCTGTGTCTAGAATAGACACAAATGCATCTGCATTTCCCAGAGACCCTGTGTGTACTCAACCTAGAAAATATTGGGCTATAAATATATGTAACGTATAGCTTGTGCTATCACATAAAACACACGATAACGTTTCAGAGCAGCTAAGGAATTTGCACATCTCTGAACAGAGAAAGGAATAGGGTGGCAAGGGGAGGGGGAGAAGACAATACAATTTATAGAACGATACAATCCTGAAAGCCACTTACTCTTCCAGCAATGAGAGCATATCTTCATATTTTTGTATCATTCGCTTTCCTTCAGTAGATTCCATGCAGCTATTGCAACATGAGAGAGAGAAAAAAATTACATAGAATTAGGAGTCAACATAATCAGAGGAGCACACTACAGCTTATAAAGAAGAGACTGATCATTGAGGGATGAGGCAGGAGGTTCTCACATTCAAGGTCAGCCTGGGCTACATAGTAAAAAAAAAAAAAGACAGACAGACAGACAGACAGAAGACTGACTGACTGACTGTAGAATGGCCATGGCCATCTGAATTCAGACACACTAAATGGCTTCTAGGGTTGATTCCAAAGGCCCCTAAAATAATCTTACAATGTTCTTCCCAAACATCCTCCTCTGTCCACTAGAGGGCACCTGCACTTCCTAAAAATCTAGGCTGACCCACCAGTGACAAAGGTAGCTTATTTTAACTTTCCTGAGTTGAGCTGATCATGTGCAAGGTAAATGAGGTCACTCAAAAATATGAATCAAAGGGAGATTGAGACACTAGAGTAAAATTCTAAACGCTACTGTTTTCTGCATTTAAGAAAAAACTATCAATAATCTACCTAACATATATAAACCTACATAGAACAATGTTCATAACTGCATATAGCATATGTGTATAAATTATGGGTATATATGTATAAACATAAATGTATAAGGTTTATATGTGTTTATGTATATATTTATTTGTCTATATAACAATACAGATAGATAGATAGATAGACAGACCAGACAGACAGATAGATGATTTTGTCTGGTACACGTGATCAGAAATGCTGCCATTCTCTGACAGGTTTATATGAGGGTCCCACCCACCTCTTCCCCCTCAAACCCATGCCCATGCAATGCATGCACATGCTCATATGCATGCTTGCTTACGCACATAGAGGCTCATTGTGGGAATGCTGAGGACTCAGAAGACAGAGAGCAGAGTGGCCTGAGGTACTGTTACCCTATAACAGTTTTCCTCTGCTTTTGACTCTCACTCGAACTAAATGGAAGTCCAACTCCTGGGACAACTGGCAAAGTATATTTGATTTTCAGACTTCACACTAGCTATGTGGAGTCTGCTTCTGTCAAGCCAGCAAGATGAGACAGCTTGGGGCAAAGACTCTTAAAAATTCATCTGCTCTTTAAATCAGCACAGCTTCCTTCCCATGATGCCTTGTACCTTCCACTTTCCCCCTCGGGCTTGCTGGGAGAGGGAGCATTGGGGTCCCAGTCACTTCGTTCTGTTATGTGGTGAACAAGAAGATGTGCCCCCCCTAAGGAAGCAAGGAGAACTGGAAAGAGCCTCACCAGGGAGGTGGAGTCACATTTTGTGCTCCCCTCACAGCTGTAGGGTTTCTGCAAACCTCACTACCCCAAGCCTCAGTGTTTATCTGGAGGAGGAGAAGTCTGAGGGGCACCTGGCTTGTGGTATGGCACATGTGGCTGTGACCTAATGATTTTGAGAGGTCACAAGACAGTGAGAGTCCCTGCAGCTTCCGTGTCACTCCATGGTGAAGAATCTGCAACATTTTAAATAACGTATTGTAGAGATCAGTACACATCTGTATTCGTTTTGAAAACAGATGGAAATTTTCATGGGACTTAGAGAAGTCACTGTGATGTGCCATCCGCATCCCCTCGGCTCTATCCACCCCAGACTCCTCTGGCAAGGCAAGTTGGCTGCAGGTGGGCTACAGCTGATGGCCTCTTTAGGAACAGCCCCAGGCCAGGCAATCAGAACCATCCTGCCGAAAGTCATGCTGCTCAGGAGGAGAGCCCAACTCCCAGCACTGATGTGGAGAGATGGGCCCATCCTTCCTGGAGGTTCAGTTGAAGCCTTCTACAATGCCTCTGTTCAGCAGCTCAACTATGGTCTCCCAGGATGAGTGGCCCTCCAGTGGAGTGGTAGCAGCCCTTCCCAGCTTCTTGCATTGTCTACTCTATCTTGTGATTTCCTGATCTTGGGAGGGATTTAATCTTGTTACCTGGGCCCAGTGGCCCAGGTAGTCCTTTGTAACTCTACAAAGGCTTGTGATGCCAATGATCAGCTTCCAATGTCTTTGCTTCTGTGTACTCACCAAAGCCAGGTGCTTACAACAGGATTGAATCTAATAGAAGAAAGATCAGAGAAAGAAAGATTTCTTGTCCCCAGATAGCATCCTAAACATAATATCATAAGTTGTTCTTCTTGTTCACGCCTAACAGCCAGGAGACCTCTGTGAATCTGGTTTCTAGAAGCAGTCATCGCACACAAGTGTGTATAACTTCCGTTCTGGTCACCATCATTCACAGGGATGTTGTCCAAAGGGCAGGTTTACACTCAGGCCAGACTTGGACTCAGCAGATGATAGGTGGAGTAGATGCTCTGAGATGTATTAATGCATGTGGGTTCCCACACTGCACTTATGTTAGTGCTCATTCTTCTCCTATAGCCTTTGCAGCAAAGAGACATTTTCCCCAAGAGGAGCATGGGAAATCTTCCCAGAGCATGAAGACCCTGACTCATTTTCTTGCAGAAATGAATCCCATCGAACAAAGTCGGGTTAGGGTCGGTTGGTGTGTTTACATTTTGGCCACTAAGTATCTTGTCTGTTGCTGGAAATGGGAAGACCTGAAGATGGTTTTCGTGGCTTGGGCAAGCAAACTGCCTTTCTTCACTCCAAATGCAGAGCAGAAACAAGAGTGTCTCCCAGCAGCCAGATACTCACGGGTGGGTGAGGCCTCTGAAACTGTCAAAAGGCCCCTGGATGCGCTGTCTCAGCTCCTGTGCCCAGCGGAGGCCCCCAGCCATGGCAGGCATGTTTTTGTGCACTGAGGAGAACCCTGGGAACACAGACAGCCAAGCTGAGGCCAGAGTGCAGCCACCGGCTCCCTCTACCCAACAAGTGCCTCCTTCTGCAACACCAGCATTTCTCTCTCCACTTCCAGACTGAAGTCACCCTGGGCCCACACTGAGGAGTTCCTGGGAGGTTGGGCATTCTGTTAAACAGGAAGGAAGAGCAGCCTTAGGGAGCAGCGTCCCCTGCCTCGCCATCCTGACATAGTTGATCTGAGCCCATGTCATAGGTAATATTTAGAGCTCTCAAGTTGAGTCTACTTGTACAATAATGCCGAGAAATACTGTCTTCAACAGACAATATCTCTGGCCTCCATCTTCTCTTCTGTAACCCAGGGTAAATTTCTGTCCTGCTTAATGAGTTTTGAAGGTTTTGGTGGTGTCAGTTATTATGAAACACATGAATCACACTGGTGCAGCCTGGACAATTTTACTTTAGTCCATCCAGTAGCTGTTTATACTTGGAAGTAGTTGTCAAGATTTAGGAAATGTGAGTCTATATTTTAAAATAATGTGTAAAACATACACTGTTTTTAGCTTCTTCAGTAAAACAAGAAGATTGTTATCAGTCTGCTGATACAATAGCAGTGGCAGCTGAGGGCTACCCACCCTGTTTACGTCATCATGGACTCCACTCTTCCCTAATGGCTCACATTTGGCCCACGTCCATTATTTTTATTTCCTACGTATCCTTTATCATCAAGAAAAAAAAATCTAAAATGACCTTTAGTAACTTTCACCCTTGCAGTGTAAGTAGAAACTTTGGCTATGAAGACTTATTACTTCTGAAATCATGTGACCTTATACATCAGAAGGAAGAGGAGTCTGGATGGACCTGCCCTTACCAGTGAGATGTTAAAAAGCAGAACTCTGGGTGGCAGCTGAAAAGCAAGCCAGAGACGATTAAGTGTGCCATCGTTGGCCTGAAGATGGAGATAGCTACATGTCAAAGGATGGAGGTGAGTCAGAGTTGTGAGTTGCTGGGAGAGGCTCCTGGCTGGTAATTGGCAAGGAAATGGAAACCTCAGGTTTATGATAACAAGGAACTGGAATATAACAAAGAGAAACTTGGAGGGGGTTTTATAACCACAAAGAACTGGATCCTACCAACAAGGATGAGCTTGAAGGGAGCTTTTCCCCCCACAGAATGTCCAGAGGTGAACATAGCATGGCCTACACCTTGTGACTCTGTGTTGAGATCCCAGATACACTGTGTTGTTCTCAGAACTCGGCTTGAAAGGAAGGCAAACATCTACTGTATTGTAGCAAAAAACAAGCATGGTCTCTGAAGAGGTCTGAGTTTTCATACTCTATATTTGACTATGAGAAATCATGAGGGTTATGTGCTGGTGGCTTATATCTGTAACCCAAGCTATTCAGGAGGCTGAGATCTGAAGATTGTGGTTCAAAGTCATCATGGGCAGGAGAGGCCATGAGACTCTTTCTTTTGGCGGGGGGGGCCTGAACTCTGGGCCTGGGCGCTGTCCCTCAGCTCTTCAGCTCAAGGCTATCGCTCTACCACTTGAGCCACAGTGCCACTTCCGACTTTTTTTCTTTTTGCTTATGTAGTGCTGAGGAATCGAACCCAGGGCCTCAGGCATGCAAGGCAAGTGCTCTACCACTGAGCCATCTTCCCAGCCCCCCATGAGACTCTTATCCCCAATTAACCACCAGAAAACTGGAAGTGGAGCTGTGGATTAAAGTAGTAGAGCACTAGCACTGAGCAAGAGAGCTCAGGCACAGTGCTCAGATCCTAAGTTCAAGCCCCATGACTACCTCCCCCCTCCCACAAAAAAAAGTTATGAGGGTTACACATAAAGATGGAACAACAGTTTCTGATAATGACTTTTGGAACCAATTCTTAATGACCTTATGCTGAATCCTGTTCATAAATATCAAGATCTTGTTATTAAGTTACTTAAAAACCTTCAATAACTTCCCATCATATGAATATGACTTCTTGATTAGCATGGCACTCACAACCCGATCTCTGATCTCTCTTGACAAGTGTTCAGCTATTGGCAGCCGAAGCTGGCTTCTTTCACATTTTCTTGTATAATCATTGCCACAGAAATCCTTGTTTCTTCTCATATTTTCTCAATCTCCAGGCGGTCAGGGCTCAGCCCAACCCCACTTTTTCCACAAACTCGCTTTTGAATCTCTCAGCCCTCTTGTTTTGCTCTACCATTCTTCACAACTCAACAACAACTCTGTGAACAAACATTGTTTTTCTTTTTGTTTGTTTCTGGTACTGTTGTTTTAACTCAGGGCCTAGAGATTGCTAGATCGGTATGATCCTGCCAGGTTTTGTCTCTAGCCTTTCTCCCATCTTCCTGCTGGTTATACTTCCTGCCCAGGTGAGGGCTTGAGCCATGATATGCTTACTCTAGGCTCCCTGTGGTTGGAATCACAAGCATATGCCATGATGCCTAGCTTCCCTTCCATGAAGATGGAATCTGAAGACTATTCTGCCCAGAGGTTGGACTGGTACCTTGATCCTAATGATCTTAACGTCTCATGTAGATTGGGATGATAGGTGGGTACCATTTAACTCAGTTAAGGTTAAGCAGCCTGGCTAACTTTTCTGCTCAGACTGTCTTTTAATCATAATCCTCCCTTTCTCAGCCTTCCAAGTAGCTAGAATTACAGGGATGAGCGCTTGGGTGCACCATCATTCAGTGTTAATTGTTTTGTTCCTTTCCCTGACTTGCCATTACAGATAGGTCCTACAGACATATCTCACATTTACCAAGCACTCAAGAAGTGTCTGGTAAAATTGACACTAACCTACATTTGATTTTCAAATAAGTAAAATAAGACATCTAACTATAATAAAAATGGAGACATAAAACACCTCCACAAAGGACTGCCCTTTGTCATCAGGCTCTGGCTGGTTCCTCCTACCAGAAGCATGGTTGCTATGGCAGTGAAAGGGTGGACTGTAAAAACCTCTTGTGAACTGAGGTACCTTGAAGATTAGTCAGTGTGACAACACAGATCAGGAGTCAACTCCTCCATTATGCTAGGGTGACAATTGACTCACAGTGGTCAAGACTTCATTGGCCTGGGTCATTCTGACAATCTCAGCCCCAGATCCTGGGAATCCTACTGTTTAGTGAACTCTATAGTCATGCAAGAGGTCTGGAATTTTAAACAGGAGTGCTGTGCTTTTTGTTCTGAGGGACTAGCATAGAGCTATATATGGACATTGCATAAATCCCAAACAAGTGCATTCTACCTTTCCCGGAAACAGAATTTTCCCCCATCAAAATCCCTTGGCAAGCAGCCTACCCAGTCCTGCCTTCTCCTGGATGTGCTGATTGTAGATGATCCTCACAGCATCTAGGTCTCTGCTGAACATCTGGATAAGGATCAGGTATTTACTGGATAGGTCCCTTGCTACCAGGGGTCTTTCAAGGAGGATCCCTGCTATGTCTAGCAGCTGTAGAGAGAACAGAGGAACAGGACGCAGTGAGAGCGATGAGGGGGTGGGGAGGAGAGGCTGATCAAGGTACATTGCATGCGTATAGGAACATGTCAAAACGAAACGTCTTTGTACAACTAAACGATGCTAAAAATATGTGGGAGGAAAACCAAAAAAATAAAACCTTTCCAGATTTGCATACATCTTGTTTCCTGCTTTTCCCTTCATATGTCTACCATTTCAAGGGGAGTGCACAATTGTTACTGGTGCACTGTAGCAATAATATTGGTAATGTGGATAATAATAATAACAAATAATAATTAGTAGGTAGGTAGTCTCCTTTGCTTCTAAATGAGGAGTCTTGTCTGCTGGTTACCACCAAGCTCGGTTGTAAGAATCTGGAAAAGGAAAACTAATGATGCCAGCAAGGTTGAGTTCTAAAACAGAAGGGAGGTGGAAACGGCAAAGGAACAGCTAAGTGGGATGGAATCGAAAAGATTCTGGAAGGTTGAAATATGAGAATGGGAGCAAGGAAGGAAAGGTTTCTGGCGGGGTGGGGGGTTAGCTACCTTGAGAATAAATAGACATGAGGAGATTAGTTGACAACGTTTTTCTGTGAATTAAAACTACCCAAACCTTGCTGTGTGATTTTTTGGTGGGATGACCAAAAACAGAGAAATAACATAGACAGAAGAGACTCATGGTATGGCTTTTCGGTCAGCTCCCATGGAGCTGATGAGGAGTCAGGGCCAGACAATAGGGAACTTACTTTTATGAGACTCTGGGGACAAACTATGCTGCTTCTGGGACCAGGCACAAAATTGGAAAGGACTTCTTCTTTGCCTAGAACCCCGCTTCTCTGTAAAACTGCAAGGATTAGAATTTCTCAAACTCAGAGAAATACGTTATTGCATAAATATAGATGTTAGCATGGTAGGAATCATCCGAAGTGCAATCATAATATTCCTTCAAACACTTCCCGGACAGACCAAATTTACATGGGAGATTATACTCAGAGCAGAGACACGCAGTGAATTCATAGGGGAAGTAACTTGAGGATACGCATGTGGCTTTCCCCTGCAGATTCTTTGAAATTCCAGACGCAGGAAGATTCATAGGATAGGGTGGGGGCTGGCCATTCTCAATGTATAAATGCAGTTATAGCTTTACACAAGTTATCTGAGTGATCAGGTTTGTTTCAGTTAGCTATGGCAGTTAATGACATAGAAGATCATTTAGTAAACACATGAAAGATCTTTCTCTAGAATTAATTCAAGAGGATACCTTACAAGTCTGTCTTCAGTCTGAAATGGGAGCTATTTAATGGAGATTATTTCCTCCCTCTGTCTCTTTTTCTCTCTGTCTCTGTCTCTCTCTGTCTCTGTCTCTCTCTCTGTCTCTGTCTCTCTGTCTCTGTCTCTCTCTCTGTCTTTCTCCCTGGCTCCCCTCAATTCAATTGATACAAAGCCCAGAACATTTGGGAAACTTAATATCCTACACTGACATAGATTTCCCCCATCCAGGGTTTAAGCCTTTTCTACAATTGTCCCCCAGTCATTCAGTCTCTGTTTGGACATTTTCAGTGACTGGAAACTTAACTACTTGTCAAGGAGATCCATTTTGTGGACAGCTTTGACAGAAATCTCTTCTCTGTTGGACCAAAATATGCCTCTTTACAACTTCTTCCTAACTCAGATGCTTCAAGCTCTGTAGGATTTCATAGTTTACAGAGGATCCATCAAGTCCTCCAAGTCTTCATGGCTCCCTCCTCAACTCTTTCCCCTATACCTGCATCACAACAAACCTTCTCCCCCATACTCTGAATGTCACCAGATCTGGGTGAGATAGAGCAAGAGTGCATGTCTTATTCTATTTATTGATTCCTGGATCCTGCAATCTATTTCCTGATAAGTGGTTTGTTCCATCTTGAGTCATCCCTTCCACAGTGTTTCAACAATCCTACATTGTCCAGTATTTTCACAATAAAAAATAAAAATAAAAAAACAATCTTACATTGTCATATATATAGAAAAGCATCGAATGATCAGTCTGCGATTCAGATTCAATTCTGTATGCTTCCCAGTCTTGGGATATTTACCTTTCTGTCTACTAGATGGGCAAGAATAATATTTGCAGGAACCAAATAATTGGGATAATATCCTTGCCATCCTCTGATAAAACATTGTACAACAGAGGTGGCTCCTGCCCCCACTTGAACCAACCTTAAAGGCATGTGCCACATCAGGGGTATCATCAAAGGCTTGAATAAATATGGTCCCCAATCTTCGGTCCAGATCTTCTACTCTGTGGTTAAATTCAGAGACATCGTTTTCAAATTCCTGAAGAAGTATCATAAAGAACATAAGAACAAAATGATTTTTCTGGAAGCCAGTCACACCATGGTCTTTATTACTAACCTTTGTACTTAAATTAGTCATACCACAGATTTATTTTAATGCTCTCAAGTTCACATGGCATCATTTCAGTTTTAACCAGCAAAAAGCTGGCCTGTTAGTATAGCACTTTTACCTAGACATTTGAGCAAAATGGCAAAGCCAATCCAATGTGGGGCTGGAGTCTTTACATCCCCCACCCCCGCTATTCCTTACCTCTACTTTCTGAAGTCCCTCCTTTCTCACCCACAATATCAGCTCCTACTACCCCTTTCTCTCACCCACACCCACACCCACACCTACACCCCCACCCCACACTACTAGTAGCAACAGCCCTAGCAATGGGCCATTTCAATATTACCATCTAATTTCCTTTTTCCCTCTAGTGAAAATGCCATCCCCCCCCCCATGTACCTGAAATATAGTCACTAGGAGGAAAGTAATAGTAATAGAGTGGGAATCTTCTCTGAGCATGTTAGACATCTAAAGGGATCTTACTTGGCTAGACCCAGGAAGATATCACTCAATAAATTCTATTAGCTCAAAGTAAAAAGAACAATGAAGATGGGTTATAAAACACAAAATGTACAAATGTGTTTGCAAACATATGATTAAACAAAATCCCATATACAAGTTTAAAAATCTACAAGGAAATTACATGTTGTCCTAGAATTCTTAATTCTCTAAAATTCACCATGGTATTGTTTCAGTTTTATCCATTTTGAGAGCCTCCCTACCATTGCTGTATTTTTCCCTGGATTCTAAGGACAAGAATAATACTATTTCTTTTAAACATACTTTAATTATTTTAACACAGAAACTAGACATTGTTCCTCAGGTTGCTATACTTAGCAAATGGAAACATAGAGCACTTTGATAAATTTGAATCTAGAACAAACAATGAATTTTAAAAAATATAAGTGAGTTCTAATTATTGTACTTTATCTGGTAATCCAAAGTGTGCTGTTCTTAGTCCAATGCAGCTATTGTCAGGGAAACATTGTTAACTCAAATATCTAATTCGTACAATTTCTACTTGTTATTATTGTTTTCAAGAGTAATATATCCTCTTATAAGAAAACACAGAAACAAATAAAAAAGTAGAAAAACAGTATGGATATGTTTTCCAAACTCAACCATGCCTGCATTATGATGTATTTCTTTATGGATTTTTTTAGCTGTGTATGGGGTTTTGCTTTATTATGTGTTTGCAAAAGCACTGTACATATTCTGTTTTATAACACATTTCCTAAATTTTTCTACTTTGAACCAATAGAATTTGTAAAAAGTGGTACTTCCCTGGGTCTGGTCAAGTAAGTTCCCTATAGAGGTCTAAGACGCTCAGGGCAGATTCCTGTTTCTAATTTTCTTTTTTTTGTTTCTAATTTTCTCTTTTTCCTTCTTACATTAAACTTCCTGTTCCAGCAATTCTGCCTTTTTATTTTTTGTATGCTTTTTACTGTAAAAATGCTGTACATGAGCAAGGTAATGAGTACATTTCCTATTGAGCATTTTTGCCTCCTCCTTTGTTTTCCCTCTACCATCCCTTCCTTCCTTCCAACCTCCACAACTACCCTCCACTCCCTGCTGAAGTTGTAAAGTTTATTTTCAACATAGTGTTTTGTACATCTCATTGTTATAATAGGTCAACCTGTATCTTTATTTAAGAATTTTGTTTTTTTCCTTCCCCTCCTCAAATTAGAGAAGTGTATATACAAGATGCAGGGCACTGACATCAAATACAGTAAAAATAGGGGTTATACCATGGGGGAGGAACATACAAAGAAACAAAAAAAAGTCACATGGTACATTATAAATATATTAGAAACAATAGGAAGAAAGAAAAAGGATATTCGTGTCCCTATTTTGGGGTTCATTTCACTTAACATCATCTTATATGGTCATATGTACATAGCTTTTAGCCTTTTCTGCTTGTCTTACACATGTACTAGTTATTGCAAATAAGGGAAGCTATGGGACCTATGTTTCTTTGGGCTAGGCTTACTTCACTTAATATAATTTTTTCCAAGTCTTTCCATTTCCTAACAAATGGGGTAATGTCATTCTTTCTGATGGAGGCATAGAATTCCATTGTGTATATATACCACATTTTCTTGATCCATTCATGTACTGAGGGGCATCTGGGTTGGTTCCATATCTTAGCTATGGTAAATAATGCTGCAATAAACATAGTTGTGCTGGTAGCCTTAGTATGGCCTTGTTTGTGATCGTTTGGGTAAATGCCCCAAAGTGGGATTGCTGAGTCATAGGGGAGCGCGTGATATTTTTTAAGTAATTCTACTCCTTCTTTGCACACTAACACGTTCTCTCTTTTTCTCATGTTTTTGAATTCACAGATCTTGGGCTTGGGTGGCGTGGGGTGAGGGGGAGTTGCAGCTGAGATGTGAACTCTTTGTTCTCACTCTGCAAAACATGTCTCAGCTTCACTTACCCTTTCCCAATCTATGAATAACCTTCTGTTCAGGTTTGCCCATCCTTCACTCAGTAGACTGTGCTAGAAGCTTCTTTGGACGTATTAAGGTATAATAGACAAATGAAAGGTTGCATATGTTGAAGGTGTAGAATAACATTTTGTCATATATAAAATTTTGACATGTATGAAATGATCACAACAATGGAGTCATTAAAGATAATTAACTCCACAGTTACCATTTTCTTCTTAGTGTGTATGTATGTGTACACATGTGTGTATATGTGTGAAAGAGATCACTACCCTTACGGCCTACCCTCATAGCAAACTTCAAGTACTCAATACAGTGTTATTAACTGTCTGTAACACTCTGTGACACATCACGTCTCTGGAATTATTCATCTTGCATAGCTGAAACTTAAAACTCTTTGACCAATACCTCCCTGTTTCCCTCTTCCTCCAACACACAAAATGTTTGCTCCCAACTGCTTTTCTATGAGTTTTAGTACTCCAGATTCCACATATAAGTGAGATCATATGGTCTTTGTCTGTCTGCTTATTTTACTTAGCCTAAGCTGAAACCACTTGGTAGTCATGGCTTCCCTTGTCATTTCTTCCCCATCTCAGCACCTCTGAAAAGCTAGGGCCATTAGTGGCTGGCAGAAATTCTTTTTTTTTTTTTTTTGCTGGATGTGGAACCTGAACTCTGTGACTGGGCACTGTCCCTCAGCTCTTCAGCTCAAGGCTAGTGCTCTACCACTTGAGCCACAGCGCCACTTCTGGCTTTTTCTGCTTATGTGGTGCTGAGGAATCGAACCCAGGACCTCATGCATGCAAGGCAAGCACTCTGCCACTGAGCCACCTTAGCAGCCCTGGCAGAAATTCTTTTGATCTATCTCCTAACAAACAATAATTAGGATCTTTCTAATGACATAGGTATAATAATTGTTTCACCTGATGTAAATAGTAGAGGAAATGCACACAAAAAATGTTCAAAATGTACCTTATTCATGTAACTGTAACCCCTCTGAACAGCATCTTTAAAATAAAATAAAATTTAAAAAAATGCAATCTAGCCAGGAGCCAGTGGCTCACGCCTAGTTATTCAGGAGGGTGAGATCTGAGGATCATGGTTGAAAGCCAGCCCTGGCAGGAAAGTCAGTGAGACTCTGATCTCCAATTAACTACCAGGAAAATAGAAGTGGCGCTGTTGCTCAAGTGGTAGAGTACTCGCCTTGAGCTGAAGAGCTCAGGAACAGCGCCCAGGCCAAGAGTTCAAGCCCCTCAACCACCACCACCAACAACAACAAAAAGCAATCTAGAAAGGAATAAGGCTATCAATTCAGCCCTACCATGCTTTGGGGGTCCAAGCAATTATAAGAGCACTCCAAGAAGACCTGGTACATCTCTTGAAATTCCTCATACATTTGCTGGACTTGCTTACTCAGTGTGTTCCCTCTGATGCCACTAAACTCAAGCTTTTCCAGTTTGTGGAAATCCAAGACAGTCTTCAGAAGATCCTAAGGGAACAATTCAGAAAGGAGTTAAATTTATCATCTAAATCCATCATCATCATCATCATCATCATCATCACAACTGTGGATGGGAAGAACTGGAAGAGCTAGAACTTATACGGGGGTGGTGGTTGCTTGGGAAAATGTGATGCCTAGTTAGTTTTGTAACCTTATTATTAGATGGGGTTGGTAAAAATAACTCTTGATTAAACTCAGTAACGAAGAGGAAAAATGGATAAATAAGAATCATAGAAACGATAATAAATATACTTCAACCTCTCTTTAAAATTGATTATAAAATATGATGATGATGATGATGATGGTGGTGGTGGTGGTGGTGGTGGTGGTGGTAAATGTGTTTACATGATTGGTGAGTTTGGCATCAATTTTTATTTAAAAAGTGAGTTCCATATGGGCCATATTGTCTAGAATGAGAATTACTTTAGAGGATGGCAGTAGGAAAGCAGACACTGAAATTAGTTCAAGGACAAATCCAGAGGTCAGAACCAGCCTTCATAGCAATGTCTTCTGCCAAAGAAAGAAATCTCCCACAGAGTGTTCTTGCCAGGTGTATGCAGTACATTGTATCAGCTGGGTGACAGAGGACAGTTATTTACCATCTCTATGCTGGTTTCTTCATCTGTGATAGCTAACAATAGTATTTTTTGGTATGGTGGTGAGAGCTAAATTAATGCAGGCTTAGGATTTGGGTGAGTGCTATGCACATATCCAGTATGCATTATGATTACTGTAATTGACACAACAGAGTCCTGATGAGCTCAGAATTCCATGACCCCTGAATGGCATAACATGGAAGCCAGAGGAGGGGTCTCTCCTGAGTCTCTAGAAGCTACTACTTCATTACTGATGGTACAAATGTCTTCTATGAATGCTTAATAGGTCACATGGAAGTTATCCCTTAGAAGGACCTGTCTAAAAGTTACGACAATTTCTGTTAGGACTTCTAATCTATGTGTATCCTTTGACAGGAAGGAGAAAAACAAAGTTTGCCTTTGCATCATTCACATTTCCTGTGGATCCCTGGAGAGGGGTCATCTACCCTAAGCAGACTGAATGGGAAAGTGAGGATGCACTATGACAAGAATGCAGGGAATCCCAGGAGCTCCTGGTATAACTCCAGAAACTTCCTATTCCCTGTTGTCCCTGCTACCATGGATCTGTCAGTCTTGTATAAGCTGCCTGACTCCTATCTCTCATTGGGAAACAAGACCAATTGCAATGATAGAGATACTGGATGTGAGGAAAAGTACCTAAGTGTCCTCACTTTGTCAGATTACCCATACAATTTCAGGCAACTTTTGAGCAGCCTTTTTTATGTGGGGCATGGTTGGCAGCAAGCAGCTAAAGCAGGAGAGGATCACCAGCCAAGGAACTCTAAATGTAGATCAGGTCAGGACCAAGGTTCTTGCTGCCCTTGGTGGTGGGAGATAGAGAAGTTGCTATTTAAAAAACAAACAAACAAACAAAAAAACCCAGTAACCTGTAGCTCACACCTGTAATCCTAGCTAGTCAGGAGGCTGAGATCTAAGGATCGCAATTCAAAGGTAGGCCAGGCAAGAAAGTCCATGAGGCTCTTATCCCCAATTAATTAACAAAAGCCAGAGTGTTGCTGTGGCTCAAGTGGCAGAGCACTAGCCTTGAATGAAAAAGCTCAGGAACAGCACCCAGTCCTCAGTTCAAGCCCAGGAAGATTTTGGTGTGAGGCTAGCCCTAGGGGGGAAAAAAGTGTAAGACCTTACCTGAGAAACAAAGCAAAAAAAAAAAAAAAAGGCTTGGTGTGTGGCTCAAATGGTACAGTGCCTGCCTAGCAAGCAAAAAGTTCTGACTTCAGATGACAGTACTATCAAATATATATAAAAGCAAAAATAGACAAATGGGATTACTGATAACATAAATATCCAATGTTATAAACTTAAAAACTCAGTAGAAAAACCCAAAGATAAACTCAATAATCCAATTAAAATTGCCAAAGATATGAATACATACTATTTGAAAGAAGAAATTTAAATGAAGATGTAAAAAAAATTCAACTTCATTAGCTGTCAGAGAAATGCAAGTCAAAACCACAATGTCATATTTTATCAGGAAGTTTAAAGAAACTGGGTTCTGATGGCTTACACCTGTAATCCTAGCTACTCAGGAGGCTGAGGTCTGAGGATCACAGTTTTCACAGTTTGAAACCAGTCCAGAAAGTAAAGTCCATTTATGATTTCTAATAAACTACCAAAAAAGTTGGGGTTCAAATGGTAAAACATTCGCCTTGAATGGGACAGTGCCCAGGCCCTGAGTTCAAGCCCATGGCTGACAAAATACAAGGAAAAAAAGCTAGGTGCCAGTGGCTCATTCCTGTATTCTTAGCTATTTTGGTGGTTGAGACCTAGAGGACCGTGGTTCAAAGCCAGTCCAGGCAGAAGTATCTATAAGACTTCATTTCTAATTAACCAGGGAAAAAGCCAAGCTGGGGGCATGGCTCAGATGCCAGATGTGAGTGAAAATGCCAAGCAAGCATAATGTTCTGAGTTCAAGCCCATGCAATGGCAGATTGATTGATGATAGATAAATGACAGACAGACAGGCAGACAGACAGATAGATAGATGATAGACAAGTAAATAAAAATAAAAACATTTGCAGAAGTATGTTCAAGTTTATGGCAGCACAAAAATGTAATTCTAGTATTCAGAAAATTGGGGTTTCATTCAAAGTCAGTCAGCCTGGGCTACATTGTGAGACTGTATCTCAAAACAATAGCAACAAAAGAAAAATATGTTTAACTTTATATAGAGAGAAAAAAGAACAAATGAATTTAACTGAAATTGATTTCAATAGTAATTCAAATCTCTCACAAGGTTTTTAGTTGTAGTGAGCTTTACATGTACTAAAAACATGTAAATGTTTTTACAGGAAAAGAATATTTTACAAGAAACAATATTTTTTATAGAAAAAATAACTTTGGTACTCATTTTTCACAAATGTGTGGATGTCTATTTCAATTTGGGGGAAATCCTGCCTAACCATTTTAAACGACAGATCTATCTTGATATGTCTGGTTACATCAGAAAGCAGGATGGTAATTTCTTTATGCTATTTGATTTCTCAAGGACACTTGAAGCGTAGACCTGGATGGTCTGAGAGAGGGGTTTGGTCTCTAGTCTAATAGGTAGATAATTAAATATTAGAGAAATAGTTAATTGTGCTATTTTTGGAGAAAGCATAGTCACTCAAAATGACGGCTATGCACATTCTTTAGCCATTATCTAAGTTAACAAACATGGCAGATGACAAATTTATTTGGGATTCTATTCAAAGATCTTAGGGTTTTCTTTCCGCCTCCATCCAAAAGGCTTCATCTCCTCACCTCTTTCTGACATTTTCCATATCCTTTGTCTGCAGTGGCTTTCTTCGGGGCTCTTAGAATGATTAATTTAACATATTATTATTTGTTTATTTTCTATCTTTATTTCCAAGGAGGTTGAAAATACTCCCAAAGTTGTCCTGGTATCCCCAATTCCTGGAAGAGTTCTCAATGCAAAACAGATAATTGTTGAATGCAGACATACTCCCTGTAGTACCATAATCAGCTATATCAAGTTCAGAAGAAGGTAACATGGTGACAGAGGCCCTAGAAACTGTGACTACTGAAGAGCAGCTGGTAAGTAAGTGCAAGAGGGGTTGGGTGGGGCAGGAACACTACAAAGCAAAGCATATCATTGGTGAGAAGGCCCTTGATGAATGTCAGGTAGAAATTTCCATAGCAATTAAGTGACTAAGACAAAGTAGCAGAGTGGCTGTTACTATGTAGGCTGAAACTATGACATGAATAAGAGGTAAACATTTTAACCTACAAAAAAAATGACCATTTCTAATGTGGCTCTGTTGAATAGAACAGAATCATCCAGTGCCTATGCATTTCCAACAGTAGGATGAGCTGCCCAAGAGGGAGTGAGCTCTTCATCACTAGATGCATGTGGGTTCTGGTCTATTTAATGTTGATGACACTGTGGAAAGATTTCTGTAGCTGGAGACACAGATTTATTATACTGACTGTAACTTACATCTTTGATTTTTAACTTATTTAGCTGTAAGGTCTTTTCACTGCTTATTTTAAAATCTTCACTTCACAGATAACGGGCAAATTTAAGCCAGTAAGAGGTTTCAGTGATACTTACGGATGGCCATGAAGTGCATGCTGGGCATGGTGGTGCCTGCCTAAAATCCCAGCTCAACAGGAGATGGAGGCAGGAGGATCCAAGTTCAAGGCCTGGGCAAGGTTATCTAGATCCTCTCTCATAAGCAAAACTAAAACCAAAAGAGCTGAGGGCCTGGCTCAAGTATTCAAGTGATTGCATAGCAAGTGTGAGGCTGTAGGTTCAATCTTAAGTAGTGCAACCTTGCAAACAGCATAATGAACTCCGTATGAATTTCATAGCATAATGCATTTAATCTGTGTGCAAGAGCTTAGGATCTCAGGTCCAAAACACTCAGGTTTACACAACTCTGGATTTGCCATTTATTAGCAATTAGCTTAAAGCAAGGCACTTTTCTTTTCTTTCTTTCTTTTTTGCTTTTTTGGGCCTTGAATTCTGGGCCTTGGTGCTATCCCTGAGCTCTTCAGCTCAAGGGTAGCACTCTACCACCTAAGCCTGGAGCCACTTCCAGTTTTCTGGTGGTTAATTGGAGATAAGAGTCTCATGGATTTTCCTGCTGGGCTGGCTTTGAACTGCAATCCTCAAATCTCAGCCTCCTCAGTAGCTAGGATTACAGGTGTGAGTCACTGCACCTGGTGACACTTAACCTTTCTAAGGTCATTTTTCCCAATGGTAAATGGGGTTACCAGGTAACACAGAAACCATCATTGTAGGACTTCAATGAATAGTAGCAATTGTAATTAACATGTCATTTGATCAGATTGCATAATTGTACACACTAGGGATGTCTAGTTGTTCCTTTCCCGATAGAAATCACAAAAGTCCTAGGCAGCTTACGCACAGACAGACTGCATCTTATTCTTATGAAAAACGGTGTAATATTTAGTGAAGGTGGAAGGTGGTAGGATGGGGGAAGGTTTAATTTGTGCTCTGACCCACTAAGTGAAGAATCAAACTCAGGTATAATGGCAAGTTACACCAACAGCCATCCTATTCTTGAAGGACAGGTCATGCCGCCCATCTTAAAAGAAATGTCTTCAGAATTCATTAAGGTAGAGCACAAAGCAGACATTTATAGATGAAAATCTCAAAAGGTCATTTGGAAAAAGACTGTTTTCTTTTACCTTTCCATTGCCACCGACCTTATGCAGCTAATGGTCTCATATGTGACCACATGTTCAAGCCCTCCTGAAAGGGAAGCTGTCCCAATTAGGCTGGGAATGAAAGAAAAGAGACTGGGTAGAACGGCCAGAGATAGCAGAGAGAACAAAATGGGAATGTAGTGTGTATTAGGTCAGCTTATTACCTATCTCCCTTCTAATCACTTTGCATAAAGCCTCAGCAGGAAATCATTTTGTCTCCAAGTGATCACAGCTTTACAGCAATTTTATAATGAAAGGAATGAGGGTTTGCTCCAAGCTGTCCCCTGCATTGTTTGCAGGGAAAAGGCTGCAGGCAGAAACATAAACAGAGGAATCTGCAGAATATACAATATTGTGGCACAAAAATAAACTTTGTGTGTGTATGTCTGTGTGTGTGTGTGTATGCGTATACTAGAGCATCATACAGGAAGGATTCTTGAGGCAACTGAAAGATGCCTGTTTGTTGATGCAAGTTACAAAATTTTTATATACTTTTGGGATTCCCTTAGTAAAGTCAGTACGTCAAATAAGGTCCTTTTATAGAATGAGAATCATAATTTTACCTGAGTGGCCTATTTAGGAGAAATCATCTGGTTAAAAAAAAATAAAAAATCAAAACAGGATGCACCAAGACAGAACAGAATGTGTAAGGGCAGAAGAAAAGCACAAAACCAGCTTGCAGCCTTCAAAATGGGAAGAAAGGGAAGAAGGGAGAGTAAGAATTGGGGAAGGGGAGAAAAGAGATTTTTATAACTCCCTGGATAATATGAAAGTTTGGTGAAAATACTACATGGCCCCGGTAGAAATCCCACCTAAAATTTGAGCTATGTGACCATGGGCAAGTTAACGTCTGTTAATTTTGAAAGTGCTCACTTGATTAAAAAAATGGTATGGATATCTATATCTTATAAAAATTACATGATGATCAGAAGGATTAGGAATGATAGCTTTGTGGCCTACATTACTTCCTTATTTTTCTATCCTTTCTTTACGTTCTTGTGTTTCTATTCTTCCTTTTTCTCCACAAGTCAGTTGTCTGAGCAAGTAGCTGCACCACAGTTAGAATGGAGAGGGCGAAGTGGTGGTACCTGAGAATTCAATTAGTCCACCTGCTGCAAACCTGCTGAAAACTACTGATCGGTCCCCTCCCCCTCCTTTGGAAGCAGCAGCATCCTACCCCTACCTTCAGTTAGCAAGCACCAGAATGAAAATGTAGACCTTCCCAACACCATTCTCTTGTGGAAAAATAAAAAGCACATTGTGTGTGCATCCCAAATCAGAAGAAAGAAATGGAGAGCATTATGGAGATTGAACAGCAGCTCTTTGCAATACATAGCCACTTGGCATAAAAATACAGAGGGCTAAACGTGTTGATGTCATTGTATTCCTTTGGTTTAATGTATTGATTAATTGCAGGTATCATCATCTGAGTGGTCATATACTGCATTAGAATAGAAGATGAATAAGGCAAAGTTCATGCTCATGCTTGCTGCAGAGAAGCAGATTAATCCCATTTCAAACAGGCATCGATCACAATGATACACAGAATGTTAACTAAAGGGCTACATGAAATATGCCAGAAGACAATCAATAGTCCCCTGCCCTGCTGCACTGAGCTGAGAAGGGAAGAGATGGGGAGGAAGACAGAAAGGGCAAGGGAGCTGAATCCAAGCCAATATTTGGGAGATTAAAAGAGAGAGAGAGAGAGAGAAGAAATGGTGTGCTATGCCGGGGATCAAAGAAGAAAACCCAGAGCATAAGACAGAGAACTTTGGAGAGGCAGAAGCAGAAAGGCTGGGAGCATATGGGGCATTTAAGTCCTCCTCTAATTAAACCAGGGTGTCTGCTTTATATGCACTCTTGCCTTTGATTCAGAAAGAAAATGCTGCCAGCCTGAGTTGGAACTATTGTGAGGGTAATGACTTTGAGGAGGCTGGTGGCCAGCTCTGCTTATATTTACTGATATACCCAGCAGATTAGATGTCCTAATGTTAGAATAGCTGTCTATATGCAAAGTCACATCATTAGCATGTGTGTACAGGGCCTGAAGTCCCTGCTGGCCCTGAGAAGCCCTTTAGAGCAGTGCTCTGCTACCGCCCCCAGGGGCTGTTTGCAGAGCCTGTAAATAGGACAGAGGAACAGAGCAATTAGTCTTCTGTGGTCAGTCCAGGCCAGAGGCAGGGCAGAGTGGAAATGCCCATCACCTTGGCTAAACAACAGCGAAGGTGTTGATGAGGGGAGGTGAGAGGAATAAAGAATCAAGGGGGAGGGGAAGAGAGGCTGTGCATTCAAAGCCATGCTGGAAATGGCCAAGAGGAGACATTCAGGATGAAACTAGATACCAATTATTGATTTTTGCCAAGATCCTGATAAAGGATTTAAGGCACATTGTATGTACACTCTAGTTCCTGGCTTTCTCACACATTTTCTGCTCTTCCCCATTTTCTTTCCCTGGGGAATTCCCACTGATTTCCTCTCATGCTCCTTACTGATTCTCAGAGCCCTACTGGGTTGGGGACCCTTCTGTATTGCTTCTAACACCCCATCAATTTTGCTTTTACTATGGCATTCCATGGGTCTTTCTGTGTTTGATCTCCTCTATTAATCTGTCTTCTTTATCCTATCTAATGTCTATACATCCCAAACGTCCTTGCAGGCAAAACTGAATTTCAGCCAAGTTTGTTTTCCGGGGCTTAGCTTTCTGCTTATGTGGTGCTGAGGAATCGAACCCAGAGCCTCATGCATGAGAGGCAAGCACTCTACCACTGAGCCACCTTCCCAACCCTTGTGCTGGTCTTGTAGCTTGATCTCAGGACCTCACTCTCTTACTTGGTGTTTTTGCTAATGGGTGGTGCTCTATCACTTAAGCTACACCTCTCCTTCCAGCTTTTTGCTTGTTAATTGGAGATAAGAGTCTTATGGACTTTTATGCCTGGGCTGGCTTTGAACCTCAACCCTCAGATCTCAGCTTCCTATGTAACTAGGATCACAGGTATTAGTAGCCAATTGCCTAGGTGAATCTATTCTATCTGAACTAATAAGAACAAGTCCAATCTCAGATTCTTTGTTTGTTTGTTTTTTGGATCCAGTCATGGGGCCTGAACTCTGGGCCTGGGCACTGTCCCTCAACTCTTCAGCTCAAGGCTAGCACTCTACCACTTGAGCCACAGCGCCACCTCCGGCTTTTTTTTTTTTTCTGCGTATCTGGTGCTGAGGAATCGAACCCAGGGCCTCAGGCATGCAAGGCAAGCGCTCTACCACTGAGCCACCTTCCCAGCCCCAATCTCAGATACTTTTATCCTCATCATCCCATAGTTTGCTGGGTTCATCACAGCCTCTTCCTAAAATAACCATCTTCACTTCAAGTCTCTGCTAGTAACAGCTGGGAATGGGCTTCTAGTTTCACTCTGGGCTCTTGGCTCTTGTCCTATCCTTGAACTTGCCCCTGAATTTTTCAAATCAGATGTAAGTATTTTTTAACCATTATCTTCCCCATAAAGTCCAGTCAGAGATCTTTGGATGTGAAATGTTACACATAGTATATTCTGAGGATTGAAACAACCTCAAGAACATGCCCTATGTGTTCACACTGTAATTCATATTAATTTTTAAATAATTGGGAGACCGACAACTGTGAACAAGATCTGGTTATCTTTTGCAAGAGATTCCCCAGTGTTGGAGACTCAGGAGCCACCTGGAGAGGCAAAGGAGTGGAGGAGTTCAAAGCATCATGTTTGTGGTAATGGTCACAAACTGCCATTTTGTAAAAGTTCTGTTTTGCAAGCTGAACCTTCTAGCCTAAGTTTGTTAGACAGAAAGCTTAAAATCTATGGGACTTTTATTTATTTTCATTCTTTGTAGGCTTGAACTCAGGGGTCTGGCACTGTCTGTTAGCTTTTTCACTCAAGATTGGCACTGTAATCCTCAGATCTCTGCCTCCTAAGTAGCTAGTATTACAGGTGTGAGCCACTAGCACCCAGTTTAAATACTTTGGGAAATCTGGAAAGCTACTGAATTTGTTCATTGATTCTTTGGGTTTTTTCCCCAACTTCCAAAAGAACAACACTTATATGATGTTTGATCCAAATGAAAACTACTCATTGAACTCTTAGTATGTGTTCTTTAAAAGAGTGAAAGGTTGGCCATCAGATTTTGGTTTTAGATTGTGGAATAGTTTCCTATTCCACATTTGCAGTTCCTGTACTTCCTCCTGTACAGGGCTGGGGCCTGTGGTGAATGAACATACTCACGGCCACTATATGCAGTCGGTCCAGGAAGCCATCCAATCGCACAAAGACCAAGGAGGATTGGAAATCCCATTCCTTGACTTCTTCGTTCTCTTTGAAGTAAGTATGGATATTCTCCCTTCTGTTCTGAAACACTTGCTTGAAGAAGCTCAAGGTGTCTGAGACCATTTGCAGTTTCCTCTGACTTTCTTCAACCTCATTTCTCAGGAGGTCTTCTGGGCTGAGGTAATTGGAGGCCTGGAATATGAACAGATTCATGTCCCTGAACCCAGCTGCAAATGAAGAACAGCCCATAATGTTTTTCCACTACCAGCTCGGAATTGAATAATTATTCAAGTAATATTTTTCTCAAGTTCAACACCTTTGGTGGAACCTTCAGTTGCTCAGGTGGACTGGAACCTGGGTTTCAGTTAAATCAGCTCAGTTTCCTTCAGCTACAGTGTCTTGGGCCAATCATGGTGATAGGGTAAGTGACAAGTGAAAGGTAAGGAGGCAGAGTGGAACTTTGTGTTCTTTTCTTATTATATTTCTAAATGATCTTTGGGTACAAAAATATTTCAGTTCAATGTCACCCTTCCCATCATTCTCTCCCATCTCTCCCAGTCCCACCCATCCCCCCAAGTTACCTGGTTCCCTTTTCACATTAAATGTGGTGGCTGTATGTGAATGCATATTGCATGGACATTGAAGGTTATGGCTGCATTTGCTTACCTTTCCTCTTTCCATTCATCTGTTCTTCCTCGCCTTGTCTTTCCCCTTCCTCCCAATAATACACATTTCAGCCTCCTGGTATTTATGTGAATAAACTATAAGTTAATTGTTCAAAGGAGTTACACCCTTGTGAATGCAATACTTCAGACTCTATGCCTAGGTATAAATGCATATGGCCTTGTATATGTTTTCATCTATGTTTATAGACATATGAAGAAATGCCTAACAGCTCTGGCTATAAAAAAAAATATTAATCAAAGCAATGCTGAGATTCCATCTCACCCCAGCAAGAATGACCATCATCCAGAAAATAAAAAACATAACAAGGCTAGTGTCAATGTGGGGCGAAAGGAGTCCTATTACACTGTTAGTGGGGTACCATTTGTGAGCATTTGTCCAAAAGATTGCAAGTTAGGATACAGTAAAGCCACTTGCCTTCACAGGTGCTCCCAAATGTTCTTTTGGGAGTTAATTGGATTTTGATAGTGAAATAATTTCAATGCAAGAATTCATTGGGCCATAACTGTTCATTGTCTTCTCAGGGTTTGAGTTCCTCAGAGGCAAAATAAGGCAATTTCAGAGGGAAGTACCCAACCAAATGTGCCTAAGGTCTCTATTCTATTTACAGATATACTCCTCCGGATTTATATTGACCTGTATGGCATCAGATGAGGCATATCTCTGTAACCTGGGCACTCAGAAAGTTGAGGATGGTAAGTTTGAGGCCAACTTAGTCAACTTAGCAAGACCTTGCCTCCAGACAAAATGTAAAAAGAAGCTGGGTGCTGGTGGCTCACACCTGTAATCCTAGCTACTCAGGAGGCTGAGATCTGAGGATCCCAGTTCAAAGCCAGTCCAGGCAATAAACTCTGTGAGACTCTTATCTCCAATAAACCACCAGAAAACCGGAAGTGGTGCTGTGCTCAAGTGGTAGAGCGCTCGCCTTGAGCTGAAGAGCTGAGGGATAGTGCCCAGGCCCAGAGTTCAAGTCCCACAACCGACAAAAAAAAGAGCTGAGGATGTAGCTCAGTGTAGCTCCTAGAATGTTCAGGGCCTTGGGTTCAATCCACTGTCAAAACAAGAAGAAAAAAATGAGGAGAAGGAGGAGGAGGAAGAGGATGAGAAGGAGGAGGAGAAAAAGGAGGAGGAGGAGGAGGAAGAGGAGGAAGAGGAGAAAGAACACAACCCAAGTGGCTGTTTTATAAAAAGTAGCTTACATATACAGAGTTCTTACCATGTGCAGGGCACTTGCATTATTGTATGGGAGCCTCCCAATCACCTAGCATCCTTTGAGATGGATCCTCTCCTTTTGACCATTGTACAGGGAAGAATGACCCAGAGCAAGTCCGTGGCTTGTTGTAGCACACACAGCTGACATGTGGTGAGGTCAAAACTAGGTACAGGGTCTACATTCTTGACTGCCGGGCTCTGTTTCTGACTTAATAACAATCCTTCCACTCAGATCAAGAAGGGGGTGAAAATTCTCCAGTCCTATGGTTTGCTCCAGCTCAGGGCTTTGGACAGAGGGGAAAGGAAGACTGGGTCTCCCCGGCATTCTGACATTATCAAATACCTCTTTGTGAATTATTGGCATGTGAAATAATAATAATTCAAGTGTGAGAACATTCTGGACCATAATGCTTTGTGAAAAGAAGGCACACTTTATGCATTCCTTTGTATCAGCGCCACCCATCCACTGGAGGAGATGTTGCTGGAATGCCCAGGGCCACACACCTGCTGGATGAGCAGGTTGCAAACCTCCTGCAGCAGCACTGTAAGCCTCCCTGGGGATCGGTAACACTTGCAAGTGGCCCAAAGCAGACAGATCACATGAAGTAGAGGTCTCAGCTGGGGCTTCACCTCAGGAAACTCCAAGCTGCCCAGGGTGTCCAGGTGGCGTTGGAGTGGCAGCAGGTGCACATGGATGTCCTGAGCCTCTGTCAGAGCTGGAAGGAATTAGAGATGGTCATGAACCTTTGCCTACCTCATGGAGCCCTCTAACCTGGGAAGTGAAGACTCTGTTAAGCCATAAGTGCAATGTCTTCTTGAACTAAAAAGGCAAAGAGAAGACTGATTTCCAGAAAACCTTCTGGCTCTTATTCAGAAATACAAAACTCTGGAGAGCTCTGAGAAAACTGTCTGATTCTCTCAGCCCCAGTCTGATGTTCTGTTTAGCAGACGTATCCCTTGATTAATACTTGCTGGTTTTTGTGCTGCTGGTATTTCTGAGGTAATACAAAATAGATGACAGGGGATGAATTTCAGAACCAGAAAGACTGTCTCCAAATACTGCCCCAGACACTCAGCAATTGTTTGACTCTGGACATATTTAACATCTCTCAGCCACAGAAAGGGGCTGATCTGTTGGTAATTTCAAGAGCTCTGCAATGACAGAAGATAAAGCAAATGGAATGATGAACAACTAGCCTAGATGGTAGTGCCTCTGAGGACTATTGGTTAATCTCATTGAGCCTTTATAAAGGAGTCACAGGAACAGAGGAATATCAGCACAGACTGGTGAATGCATGTGCTGTTGTTTTTTTCAGAACCAGGAAAATCTCCTTATGGTAAGTAGCTGGGATTACAAGTATGAACCACTGTAACTATTCTAAACCAATCATCTGTAGTAAAATAGAAAAGCCAGTGGTGCTGTGCATAGGAACCTAGAGGAAATGTGAATGCCCAGTGAGCAAGTTGAACTGGAAGGGAACATCTGTAAATGTTCTTAGGTTGTAGTATACGAATAAGGCAGTGCATTTTGTTTGGTAGGTTGTTTTAGGGAGAGGTGCTTACTTGGTTTCTGGTAGTACAGGGATTTGAACGTAAGGCTTTACACTTGTTAGGTAGCAATGAGCTATTTATCCAGCCTTTTGCCTTTTTAAAGTTACATTTTGGATAAGGTCTTATCTTTTTGCTTGGAGCCGGTCTCAGACAGCGATCCTTTTACCTATGCTTCCCAAGCAGCTAGGATCATAGACTCATATTCCCACTTCTGACTTGGTTGTAACTGGGTCTCACTAACTTTTTTTGCCTGAGTGGCTTTAAATAGCTATCCCAAGTAGCTGGTATTATAAGTGTGAGCCACTATACTCATCCTAGGATCAGTGTTTTTGATGTAGTAAAGGGGATTAAACTCAAGAATTCTTGTGTAGCCGGGTGCTGGTGGCTCATGCCTATAATCCTAGCTATTCAGGAGGCTGAGATCTGAGGATCGTGGTTCAAAGCCAGCCAAGGCATGAAAGTCTGTGAGACTCTTATTTCCAATAAACCACTAGAAAACCAGAAGTGGTGCTGTGGCTCAAGCAGAAGAGTGCTCGCCTTGAGCTGAAGAGTGCAGGGACAGCGCCCAAGCCCAGAGTTCAAGCCCCATGACCGACCAAAAAAAAGAAAAAAAAAAGAATTCTTGTGTGTTAAGCATGCACACTACTCAGCTATACCATAGCTCTATTGTTTTAAATTTTTAATGTTTTATGTTGTTGTTCTTATTTTATTAAGATGTTTTCAATCTCTATTTGTTGAACCCACACATAGGAAACAAAAGATACTCCCTTTATGAGACAGGACCAGTATGCCAGAAATTGCTTTAATATAGGACATAGATACTCTTATAGACAGTTATACGACACAGCTTTAGCCCTCTATTTTAAGACTTTACCTAAGCTTATCTGTGAATTGGCTAGCCCAATCCACCTGAGCCAAAGGAAGATTACCTCAAAGGTATTATCCTGAACTCCTGGCTTAATAGTTGTGAGGCTCAATATACATGGGAATGTGTTGATATTATGGCTGTACTTTACATCACCAATGGGTACAAGATGTGAACTGAAAGTCAAATGCCATTGCAAATTGATTATAGTAATAATTCTGAGTTGGAGAGCTGATGGCAAAGATCAGGGGGAGAGGATTCCAAAATCCTCTTCAAGTGTGTTGTGAAGAAGAGGGGGCTAAGACTATCATGCTAGGGAGTACTGTCTTTCTGATAGCTTTCTTGAAGACTTTTCAAAAGCAAAAATCTCCCTTAGTAATACTAATAGGCACTACCCTGATTTTGTTTTGGGGAGGTGGTACTAGGGATTGACTGAAGGGCCTTGTACTTACCAAACAAGTTGCTCTACCACTTAAGCCATAGCCTCCAGCACCTTCCTATGTTGTCTGTTTTTGAGATGGGGTCCTATTTTATGCTAGGGTTAGCATGGACTGTGTAGTCTTCCTATTTGTGCTTCCCTGAGTCTGTGGGGATGACAGGCATGAGTCACTGCACCCAGGCACTGTAGCTGAGATAACAGGTGTTATCTCAACATTGGGTGAGATAGGGTCTCATAAACATTATACCCAGACTGGCTTTGAACCAAGATCTCCCAATCTCCATCCCTCAAAGTAGCTAGGATTATAGTATTGAGCCACTGCATGTGGTTTCTAGGAACATACTATTTTAAGAAAACACAGTAGCTCTGTAGTCCAAGCAAGGGACATTCACTTTGGATTACAGGCAAACAAAGATAGACATAGGCAAACTGGGCTCGTATTTTCATTCTGCTCAATGGTAGAATAACTGCTTTGAATATGCAAGGGCTGAGTCCAATCCCCAGCACCACCATTAAATATCTGGGTGGAGATTGGTTCCAGGCTTGGATGGCCAGATCCAGAGATGATCAAGTCTCTCAAATAAAAAGGTGGAAGTATTTGCATAAAACCAACATACATTTGCCTTTATACTTCAAATCATCTTTAGACTACCTATTGTATTGAATATAGTTTAAATACAATATAAGAAGTTGTTACACTAAATTTTTTAACTGGTGTGCTGCAAGGGATGGATCGAAAGCTTTAATGCATGCTAAGCAAACATACACTTGAACTATACCTAACTTTATTGTTTAAAAGTTTGTATTGTTGCTGGGCACTGGTGGCTCATGCCTGTAATCCTAGCTACTCAGGAGGCTGAGATGTGAGGATCACTGTTCAAAGCCAGCCTGGGCAGAAAAATCTGTAAGACACTTATCTCCAATAAGCCACTAGAAAACTGTAAGTGGCACCATGGCTCTAGTGGTAGAGAGCTCGCCTTGAGCTGAAGAGCTGAGGAACAGCTGGTCCACACTGGCTGTAATGAAGCACCAAGACTGAACTTGCTAGAGAGAGAGAGAGAGAGAGAGAGAGAGAGAGAGAGAGAGAGAGAGAGGGGAAGAAACAGAGACAGAGATAAAGACAAAGACACAGACAGACAGACAGACAGAGATGGAGACCTGACTGGTGCTATGATCAGTTTCTTCAAGAGTCAGGTGTTGGTGAGTTTTTATACCATCTATGGGATGGTATTAAGAACTAGGCTATTAAGAGGTGGTTAGACCATGAGAGACTTGTCCCCTATGAATAGGATTTGGTCCTTTATAGGAGTGTCTTCACACCACATGAGGACACAACATTCCTCCCCTAGCGGATGTAGCAGAAGTTGCTATCTTGGGTTTTTTTTGTTTGTTTGTTTTTGATTTTTTGCCAGTCATGGGGCCTGAACTCTGGGTCTGGGCACTGTCCCTCAGCTCTTCAGCTCAAGGCTAGCGCTCTACCACTGGAGCCACAGCGCCACTTCCAGCTTTTTCTGTTTATGTGGTGCTGAGGAATCGAACCCAGGGCCTCATGCTTGCAAGGCATGCACTCTACCGCTGAGCTACCTTCCCAGCCCAGAAGTTGCTATCTTGGAAGCAGAAACCAGCATACCTCAGACAGGCTAATCTTATCTTCCTAGCCTCACAAATACTGAGAAATAAGAGACTGCTCTTTACAAAAATCACCGGGTCCCTCATAGTCTGTTATAGCAGCACAGATCCACTAGGACAATTATAACTGGTCTCATTAGGCCATGCATGCCCCCTCATAGCAGGGAGAATTCCTTAGAGGTTCCCAAGGTTTTTCATGTTTTTCATCCTGCAATCAATCCCACTTCTGACAACCTTCCTTTATCCTTTGAGCCTCCTTCTTTATTTCTCACCATTTTCTAGTTGATGCTTATTAATCCAGAGACACTTAATTTCCTCTCCTCTCTTTAGTCTATCATGGAGCCAATAAACTAGCCAGAGTGTGATTAACAAGAATAATGAACCTAGTATATTTATGTGGGATAAAGTAAGCCAGATGCTCAGAAATTAAATTAGAAATGATAAGATCATTCGATTGCCTTTAAAATCTTTTTATTCTTAGTAGATCCTGCCAAAATTTCTGGCCAAGTTGCTACCTAACATCTATAATAGAATCTTCTCTTCTTCCAACATGGGAATCAAATTACACATTAAAGGATTACTAGGTGGGTGCTGGTGGCTCACACCTGAAATCCTAGCTACTTAGGAAAGGCAGCAATCTGAGAATCCCAGTTCCAAGGCAGCCCAGCTAGGAAAGACCCTGAGATTATTACCTCAAGTTAACCACCAAAAATCCAGAAGTAGAACTAGGGCTTAAGTAGTATAATGCTATCCTTGATCAAAAAACCTACAGCACACACACACACACACACACACACACACACACACACACACACATACACAGTAGTGTTTATTTGGTTCTATTATAATGTTTTTTTCTAATTTGATTTTTCAGTATATACACTACTAGAAAAAATATTGGTAGCTGGCTTAGGGAAATCAAACTTTTACAACCATTAATTTATATATGTGATTAGTTTCTTAATATACAATTGGGAAAATATTATGGGAAACACTAAACAGCCAACTCATAACATATTTTCTGATGTTATTTTATTTCAGAGCTCCAAAAGCATTTGCACACTTCCATTATACCTGTGGTATCTGTGTCCAACCCAAAACATTGCTTCCTTAACATTTTCTTCCAAATTGGCTCCCATTTTAAGCTACATAAAATCACACTTCCTTGGTATCTATGGGAGCCTGGATTCGACATCTGAGGATGCTCACATCCCTTACATAAAAACCACATAGTATTCGCATATAAACTACACAACCTTCTTGTATACTTTAAGTCATCTCTAGATTACTTGTAATGCCAACACAGTGTAAATGTAGTGCAAATAGTTATTATATGATTTATGGAACTGTAATCTCTTTGTACCACTACTTAATAATAATAGTAATAATAATAAACAAATGAAAAGTTTGAAATGGTTGCTATACTCTGTTGTTTTGGGAATGATGACAAAAAATGTTTGTATATGTTCACTTTGTACAAATTTTTTGTGTGTATGTGCTAGTAGTAGGTTTTGAACTCAGAGCCTGGGAACTGACTCTTAAATTTTTGTGTTCAAAGATAATGCTCTACAGTGTAGGCCCCAGGTCCACTTCTGGCTTTTTTTGCTGGTTAATTAGAAATGAGTCACATGCACTTTCTTGCCTAGCCTAATTTTGAACCATGATCCTCTGATTTCAGCCTCCTGAGTAGCTAGGATTAAAGGCCTGAGCCACAAGCACCTGGCAAGTGTGTACAAAAATTTTAAAATAACTTTCAGCCTAGGAATGTAGCTTAGTGGTAGAGTGCTTACCTAGCATGCATGAAGCCCTGGGTTCAATTCCTCAGTACCACATAAACAGAGAAAGCTGGAAGTGGCACTGTGGCTTAAGTAGTAGAGTGCTACCTTTGATTAAAAGAAGCTCAGGGACAGTGCTCAGTCCCTGAGTTCAAACCCCAGGACTGGCATAATAATAATAATTTTCAACCCATATTGGTTGAATTCATGGCTATAGAAACTACAGACAAAAATGAAAACTTTAGATCACTATCCAAAATGTAAACCATTTTGTGTGTATGTGTGAGGGCTATGCTTTATGACATTTTCAAAACACCTGTTTACATGTCTTCCACACTCATCTTTCACATCAACAGCAGCACATGAGCCACTTTTTGAGGAGGACATTTGTTTATTTGAATTGAAGTGCAAACTGAAAACAAGAGCTGACTCCTCTGGGATACAACATCTCTTGTGCAGTAGAGAAATGAGGCCTTAAAATACATCTATTCAAGCTGGTTTCAAATACTGTCAGTGCAGCCTCTGCAATGCAACTTGGGGACCCAGAAGGACCTCAAAGACTATCTACTTATGCTGGTGCTTCTGTGTTACATAGTTCATGTCCAAAAAAAATCCATCAATAAGGCTTGATTGTGCTACATGTCTGTAATCTCAGGAAGCTGAGATGGGTGAATTACAAGTTCAAGGTCAGCCTTGGCTACATAGAAAGCCCTTCTCAAACTAAAGCAAAACAACAAAAAATGAAAAAGAAAGAAAAGTTAAAAAGCAACAACAACCACATTAGTGGAGGTATGGTTAAAAAGCTAAGCCCTGTGTTCGAGCCCCAGTACAGAGGAGAAAGCGGGGGGGGGGGGGGGATCAAAGAAGGGAGGGAGGGAGGAAAAGAGGGAAAGAGAGAGTGAGCGAGCCAGCGAGCCAGCAAAAGAGAGAGAGAGAGAGAGAGGGAGAGAGAACAAGAGAGAGAAAGAGAGAGAGAGAGGATGAGAGAGAGAAAGAGAGAAAGAGAGAGAGAGAGATCCATTGTTGGAACTTTTATTCTTTTAGTTAAATGGGTTCCAAATCCCATACCCTAGAAGGAAAAGGTTGATGAGATATCACCCCAGCCAGATCTGGCTACAGGACACAGCCCCTACTCATCAAGCAAACAGACCTTGATTACTTTCATATTTTGGACCTACAGAAGAAACAGTATTTAAGAAATTTCTGGGAGAGGAAATATGTTTGAAAATCACTGCTTAGATTAAGCTTAACTCATATGAAATTGAAAATACCTTTAAAAGTACATTTTGACCTATGGTACTGAAAAGTGAGGAGATTTGATAAGGGAGGGCAAAGTGCATCAATGAGGGATGAGGGATTCCTGAAAATAGTTACCTCTTCCTAATCATACGTTTTGCTGGCTTTGCAATTTTGACAAGACTGATCTTGTCTGATGCTCAGAGGGACAGGAAATTGCAAGCCCATCTGACCATGGGAACTGAAAAGACAGACTGAAGGGTGACAGAGTATAGATTTCTCAGGGAGCCAGGAGGGCTAGAACCCAAATTCCAGAGGAGAGAACACACATTTGGGCAGCATAGCCAATAAGGAGGTCCTTTCCAGCCAGATGATCTCACAGGGTCTGAAGAGGAGGGGTAGGTGGGCAGCATATACACCCCAACTATGGTACACATGAAAGCTCAGAGAGGTTATGTAAGGTTGCTCAAGATCACAAAGGAGTTGGACTACAAGCCAAGCACAGTTCTGTTTGGCTCACCTCCTCTGCCACCCCCAACTTCTAGATTTGTATTGGGTCAGTTAGAAAGTTATAAGCACTTGATGAGGCTGACATAAGAAAGAGAAGTAAATGTGTCATTAAGTAAGAAATCCAAGTCAAAGGGATTTGTGAGGCAAGCATTGGCAGCTTGAGCCTTACATCTCAGGAGATCTAAGGATCAAAGTTTGAAGCCAGTCTATGCAGAAAAGTCCCCGAGACTCATCTCCAGTTAACCAGCGAAAAGCCAGAGGTAGAAGTGTGGCTCAAGTGGTTGAACACCAGTCTTGAACAGAAAAGCCAAGTGATATTGCAAGGCCCTATGTATAAGCCCCAGAGCCAGACAAAAGAGCAGGGGGATTTGTGAAAACTCTGGTCCTCACCTGCTACAACGTCTCTGACCAAGGCTTTGAAAGCTGGATAGTAGCTGCTCTGAAGCTTGTCTAGGAGCTCAGCTATGCCCCTCATCTTCATGGTTCTCAGTTGATTATAAATGCACTCCAGATCCTCATACCTGTTATGCCACAGAGAAGGGTGAATCCAAGTGAGCATCAGGAAATGCCATCCATCCAGTGACGCCCTACCCTCCCACAGGTAGAGGGTCTCTGCAGATGACCATGCTTCTACACTAAGGGCTGGGGGACATCTGTCTCCTAACAGTGAGGGCAAAACCCTGTGTTGGGAACACAGGTTCAAAAGGGCAGCGTCAGGAGACATTGCTGTGACCATCTGGTGGCTGAAAAGCTTGGCAGCTGGAGGTCATTAGCTCTTGCAGCAAGGCTGGATAGGGTGAGAGCAGCATTGTTGGAGCAAGGCTGCTAGAGAAGGGTCTTGCCATAGGTTAGGAGCCAGGCATGAGGATGGGCATCTCAGCATGGTGGTACGTATAGGGCTGGAGCCCTACAGGCAGACCTGATCATGTGACATGGGCAATCTCCAGCCAATGTGGGGACAGGGACATCTGTTCCCAACATCTGTCTGTCTCCTTTTGAGTAAAGGATTTATCAGCACAGTGATAAACAGGAGCAAGGACATGGGAAGTACGGGGGGGGGGGGGGGGGCGGGGGGGGCGCGATAATCAGAAGCAATAATGAGTTATTTCTGGTCACACCATGGGACTGAGACAGAGCAGATATTAATGATAATTTTGGGATCTAGAAGAGGCTATTCTGCAGCCAACTTCCAAAAATCCCTCTGTTTTCAGATCCTTCCAAAAGGTATGTGTGCTCAACCTCCACTGTCTAAGGAGAAGGGAGCAGAAATTAGAAAAATATTCAAAAGTGTTGATGGATTTTACACATGGCTGAATAAAAATCGAAGAAGTTACGGAAGATGACATTGACAGTAACCCAAGAAAGGAAAGAATGCATCTCCCAGTCCACAGAAAAGCTGTATTGACTCACTTAGCTGTCTTCCTTAGGGAAGATGAGAAATATGCAGAGGGAGGGAACTACTCAGGGGTTAACTTCCTTGAGCCAGCTCTGGCTTTTTCCTCTACAAGATACTGTCCCAGAATTTGGGCATGTGCCTCCCTGCCTACCTGCTTTTCCAGAACTCCAGTTCCATTTTGGGGGTGGGATGCTCCCCTTGGAGGAGAGGCAGAGAAGAATCTCTCTTCAGCAACACCTGGATTTGGTGGCTCCACTTGACCACTGCAGACTCAATGGCATAGATAACGGACTTATCTATAGAATTCAAGCTGTGAAAGAGAAAAGAAATCTCCTGGAACTCATGGAAGTAACTTCAGCTTGGGTGTGTATTAGTCTTTTTTCCATTGCTATAACAAAATTCCTAAGGCCTGGAGATAACTTATAAAGAAAAGAGGTTTGTTTCCCCCATGTTTTGAGAGGCTAGAAGTTCAAAATTGTGATGTATTACTCATTTGTTTGTCATCTCCTGAGGGCATTGTGGCAGATGTCATCATGGCAGAAGTAGGAGCCAGAAGTAACACATAGAAAACAGGAAAGCAGAGAACAACAATCCTTTTGGAAGGAATAAACTTAAGTCCCATGGATCTATGATAGTCTTCTCTGAGGGCAGGACCTCCAATGGACTAATTACCTTGCACTAAGCTCCACCTCTTCAGGATTCCATCATTTTCTAACTTTGCCACTAATTTAGCTCCAAATGCATGAACACTTGGGGGGAAAACTCAAACCATATCCAAACCATACCTCTGAGTAGCTCCTACAAAAGAACTCCAAATCTTAAAAAAAAAAACAACAACAGAAAAAAACAAAAACAAAGACAATAACAAAAACAGAAGCTGGACATTGGTGGCTGACTCCTGTAATCCTAGCTACTTAGAAGGTTGAGATCTGAGGATGCTGGTTCACAGCCAGACTAAGGAGTAAAGTCTGTGAAACTCATCTCCAATGAACCACCAGAAAACCAGAAGTACTGCTGTTGGTCCAAAGTGGTAGAGTGCTAGCTTTGAGCACAAAAAGCTCAGGGACAGCAACCAGGCCCTGAATTCAAGCCCTATGGCCAACAAAAATAAAAAAATAAAAAGAACATATGTAAAATTCCATCTAACCTGTGAATTCTTTAGAATTTTCTGAAGCAGGGTCTTACTGTATAGTCTAGGATGGTTTAAATATTGCTCTGTAACCTAAGCTGTCCTTGAACTCACAATATATTCTCAGCTGTTGGGATTTCAGGCATGTACCACCACTACTCCCAGCTCCTAGACTGTGAATTCTTTTTGATTTTCATTGTGGGACTTGAACTTAGGGCCTGGGCACTTTTTCTGAGCTCTTTTGCTCAAGGCTAGTGCTTTACCACTTTGAGCTACAGCTCTACTCCTGTGAATTCTTACCATGTTTTAGTGATAGATTTTCTTGAGCAGTCAATTAAATGTACTGAAACTTCTCTCCCATAAACATGGCTATTTGTGTACATATCCAACAGTATATTAAGGGGCATATGCTGAAGACCAGTTTTAAAACTTCGATGCTGTCAGATTTTGCTGTCACTGTAAGAATAGGTCGGACAGAGCCATCAGGTGACCACCCAACTCTTATTTGAATCTCACCAGTGAAGGCATGAAGGCCAGCTTTCTATGTGAGGAAACAGCTCAGTAGATTGCCTCTTCCAGGAAGAAACTACATTGAACAATATCTGCTTCCCTGAATTTACTCATTTTGTTGTTCTAACTGCTGAAGCAAGAAGAAACGGGTTACTTCCTACTCAAGGTATACTAATATCTTTGAATAAATGCCATCATCATAATTTCACAATCTTCCCTTTTCCAATGGAGAATGAGATTCCAAAGCTTCTGCCTCATATACCTCTTTTGTTTTATTCTGTTTTAAATAGCTTAGCTATCTTTGGAAAAAATAAAAAATTAAAAGAAAATAGTTTAGCTGCCTGTGTATAGTTTTACTGAAAATCATACCTGCCAAGTACCAAGGGCACAGTGAGAAAGAAAGGAAGTGTATCCTTCACCTTTTCTAATCAGAAACCCACCTTCACTTAATTAAATTCATGTTTGCTGAAACAGGATATGGCAAACATGATTATGAAAAGTATTAGAGGGAGAAGATATTCACCTTCCCTAAAAAATGATTCAGCCTTTGGGGAAATTATCAAATTTGAACAAAGGGAGACAAACTCGGTAAGGATTATATACACACTCTTCGTGCCATTCAGTTGAAATATAAAGGGACCAGAAGAAGGATAGTTAAAATTTATTTATTTTGAAAATTGAGTATTTTTATTAAGCCCCAATAAGTTTCCTAGTTAAGTGGGAAATTACTTCCAATTATGCATGCAGTAATTACTTCCAATAGAAAAAATAAACTCTCAGTAAATGGTGCTGGCAAAATTGGTTAACTACTTGTAGAAAACTAAAGCTAGATCCTTATATATCACCCTGTACCAGAATCAACTCCAAATGCATCAAAGACCTTGGAATCAAAGCAGACACTCTGAAAACATTACAGGATGGAATAGGAGAAACCCTAGGTCTCCTTGGCACAGGCCGGAATGTTCTTAATAGAGACCCTGAAACACAACAAATCAAAGAAAGCTTGGACAAATGGGATTGCAAACAGAGCTTCTGCATGGCAAAGGACATAGGTAGCAAGATCAATAGAAAGCCCATAGATTGGGAGAAGATCTTCATTAGCCATACAACGGACAAGGGTCTCATATCTAAAATATACCTGGACCTCAAAAAATTAAATCCCCCAACAACAAATCTTCAAAGAAACAACTGCCCAATAAATAAGTGAGCTAAAGACTTAAAGAGAAACTTCTCTGAAGAGGAAAGAAGGATGGCCAATAGACACATGAAGAAATGCTCAACCTCTCTAGCCATAAATGAAATGCAAATCAAAACAACATTGAGATACCACCTCACCCCAGTTAGAATGGCTATAATCAAGAACTCTAATAACAACAGATGATGGAGGGGATGTGAACAGAAGGGAACCCTACTGCATTGTTGGTGGGAGTGTAAACTTGTTCAACCACTTTGGAAAGCAGTATGGAGGTTGCTCAAAAGACTCCACATAGAGCTCCCCTATGACCCAGCAATCCCACTTTTGGGCATTTACCCAAATGTTCACAAACAAGACCACACTAAAGCTATCAGCACGACCAAGTTTATTGCAGCATTATTTACCATTGCTAAGATAGGGAACCAACCCAGATGCCCCTGAGTAGATGAATGCATCAAGAAAATGTGGTATATATACACAATGGAATTCTATGCCTCCATCAGAAAGAATGACATTGCCCCATTTGTTAGGAAATGGAAAGACTTGGAAAAAATTATATTAAGTGAAGTAAGCCAGGTCCAAAGAAACATAGGTCCCATGGTTTCCTTTACTTGCAGTAACTAGTATATGTCTGAGTCAAGCAGAAAAGATCAGATAAGTTGATGTTAAGGAAATGAACCCTAAGCTATGTATTCAAATGTTTTTTCCTTTCATGTGATTGTTTCTGACACATTTATAAGATTATTTCTTTGTTGCTTTGTATGTCCCTCCCCCATGCTTTCACTGTATTTGATATTGGTATAATTTGTGGAGGAGAAGGGAAAAACAAATCGTTTAAATAGGGATACAGGTGGACCCATTGCAACAATGAGATGTACAAGTCGTTATGTCGAAAACGAACTTTACAACTTTGGTGAGGGGGGGAGAGGTGGGGGGAAGGATGGGATGGGAAGGGGAAACAAAGGAAGAGGCTACAATGCTTGATAAGAAATGTACTCATTATCTTGCTCATGTTATTGTAACCCCTCTGTGCAGTATTTTCACAATAAAAAAAGAAAAAATAAACTCATTCTGAAGTATATTGCTGTTGTGTACAATATATTATTCTTCAGTCATGTTGTGGTTCCCGAATAAGTAACAATGACAGTGATACATTGAAAATTCCTAGCAATATGGTAAACCTAACTCATGTAGGAAGCTCACTTGTGGCCATACACAAATAGAAATTCTAGACAAAATAAAAGCCATTTTTATATACACAGTGTAGCTTCAGAAAAAAAAATTCCCAAGGGATAAGGTGACCTCAATGGTGTAATGTGAAGTGGAGCCTGATGGTACCTCTGACATCTCAAAGGAGAAGAGACTGATGTTGTAATGGACTCCCTAATAAACTATATTGCTTCCTCCTGGGGGTAGAGGAAAATCCCTAACACCTGTTTTTTTTTTAATGCTACAGCTACAGGGGGAGGAACAGCTGGAACCATAACAAACGCCACTAGAGTTAGTGCTGTGACACTGTGTACTGAGTAAACGTGGGTGAGGAGTATAGGCTCCAGGACTGGCCTGGGTCTTCACCAATGACGAGCTTGATAAAGCAAAGCACTGGAATCACTGTGGCTGCTCTCAGCCCTAACATGATTCTGAACAAATGAAGGCCATGCTGCTGTGATAGCTTAAAAGGCTTTAGAAAGCATTGTAAGGATGAGGGATAAAGTGGGGCACGCATACCGACCAATCCCAGGATATTGGCCAGCAGACACTGGGCTTGGGTGTGGATCAAGATGTAAAGAGTCAGAAACAGAAAAGTCATTTGAAGAAAATATCTGAATAAACAAGCTTGCCTTCTATCTCAGAGGTACATATGGTCAGGCTGGCGATACTTACGCTGACTCACTTTCAGAATCCACAAACTCCATTTCTATTGGAAGAGGCAGCAAAGTTCTTCCTTTCACTTGCTCAAGGATAACCAGGAGGTCACACTGCAGGCTGTGGGCATGCCGCCTGACATCTTGACATACCATGTGGGGCCAGTCTAGGTGATTCTTCTCATTAGCCAGGACAGGTATAATGACCTGTAACAGAAGTGTATGCAGGGGAAGGTAAGCATTCTATGTCTGAGCCTTTAGAGAAAAACATTTCAGAAAATGTCCATCCATCCTTCCTTCAGGTCATGATGCTGTTGGCTTAAGACTGAGGTCCAATGCTATATGATGCTTTGGCTTTTGGCAAAAGCAAAATGACCTCTAATAGACTACCTGCAAGTTTTCCTCTTTGCTCTGATCCTGTGGGTAAGGAGTCCTAGCCAAATAACTCTCCTTACTATGGAGGAACAAGAACACTGCCTACTTTTCCCTGAGTGTCAGGCTTCAGTTCCTTGCCAGACCCTGTAACTCTTGGAACAAGCCAATTACATCCTCCCACAGGAACCCAGGGGGCAACAACCCCTTCCATACCACAAAGTAGCCCTCCCCAACCCAGCTGCTCTGTGTTCCCTCTATTCTCAAATGCAACCTTAAATGCCCTTGCCTGGTGGACTGCCCTCTTCTCTACTGAGCTTGTGTGATTGGTAGGACACTGTCTGTGTCATCTACTCTGAATTAGATGTCATAAATTCAAGTTGTCATTATTATCCTAGGATCATGAATATTTCCTTCACCAATTGTGGGTAAATAAGAACTGATGGAAATGCTCAGAAAGGCCAGAACTAAGAAAAGGGGAAAAGAGACAAAAAGATAGGGGCTTCATGAAGGTAAAGATGACCTGTCTATATAAATTGTGTGAGAGGCACATTTTAAGATTTGCAGATCATGTTTATATCCATATCTTTGGAGTAAACGTTAGTCAATGTTGACCACACAACCACACAACATATGTCCTTTTGGCACTGAATCTGAGCCAATAAGGGTCTGGCCAAAGTATCCTATCAGAGCTTTTCAGGGAGGAGATAGCTACTTTTTTCTATTAGCCTGGAGTATCAATGCAGAGAAAAGAGAATTCATTTGGGAAAAGATCAAGTCCTGGTTACTGTTTGAGCTCCTGAACTTAGCGTCTCCAGAAGTTTTTTTTTTAATTGACTTTCTGTCACTAGCAACTGCAAATTTTGTCAGTGTAGCACACTAGAAGCCTGTGCCTCTTAAAATCACACAACTCAGTAAGCACCAGTGGCTTGCTTATACCTATAACTGCAGCAACTCAAAAGGCTGGGATTTGAAGGACTGTGGTTCTAAACTAACCAGTGCTTTGTTTGTTTTGTTTTTGAGGTAGTTCATGAGATTCCATCTCCAAAATAACTAGCACCAAGTAAGGTGAGCTAGGCACTAGTACCTTATGCCTGTAATCTTTTTAGCTACTCAGAAGGCTGAAATGTGAGGATCACAGTTTGTAGCCATCCTGGGAAGAAAAGTCTATAAGACTCTTATTTCCAATTAACCACTAATAAGCTGGAAGAGGAGGTATGGCTGAAGTGGTAGAGCAACAGTCTTGAGAAAAAAAGCTAAAAGAGAGCACCCAGGCCTTGAGTTCAAGCCCCAGCCCCAATTCCTGGGCTGGAGGCATGGTTCAAGTGGAAGAATACCAAGCAAGCTGAGCAAACATGCAAACTCTGGTACTGGCATGTGTATGCATACGCACATACACACACTTACAAAATTATGCAACTAATGTGATGAGGGAGCTACCAAAGAAACAATGAAAAGGAAACACGAATCCAGATGGCTGATTAGTTTCTGTATATGACTAGCATGTAAAATTCCAGAAGATGATCCTTCCCTGTTCTTTCTGGAAACATTGATTGAGCTGGGAACTTATGTGAATGGCAAGCATAAAAAGGAAAAACAAACGTTCCTTACTAAACTCTATCATATTCATATTGAGAAAAGACTTTGGGCCCGGAGCAGAAGCCCTGACTGGGAAAGAGAATGAACTGGATTCCTCCCAGGATCTCGAAGGTAGGGACTGAATCTCGTTGGGTCCTTACAAGCCTGCAGTGTGCCTCTCCTGTTCTGAGCACCCTCACAGAGGTCTATGAATGCATGCTGTCTGCAGAAAAAGTGGTGGGTGGGTTTTGGTTTGATTTTTGAGGGCTTTGAGTGACAGAAAAATAACAAATGTAAATTCTCTATGAAATGAAGATGTACTCATTCATTTACTTAGTGTTTTTTTACTTAGTCTTTTTATTGAAACAGGGCCTATGTAGCCCAGGCTGGCCTTAAACTTGATATCCTTCTGCTTCAACTTCCTGAGTGCTGAGATTATAGGTATATGCACTCTACCTGGATAGTGAGTACTAATAAAACACGTATATGCTAGTGCCAAGTGCTAGGACACATCAGAGAACAACACAAAGAAAGGTCCATAACCTCATAAAGTTTATGTTCTAGGAGAGCAAAAGTCAACAGGTAACCTTTGTCAATAAAAATAAATATGGCAGGGGAAGGAGACCACAGGGTGGAAGGGATGTAATTGTGAATACTGAAGCCAGCATCAGTCTCATTGAGATGATAACACTTGAACAAAGAGTGGAGAGGTTGGGAAGAGCTCTGCAAAGACTTGGGGGATGTATATTGCAAGCAGAAGATGTAAACAGTGCAAAGGTCCCAGGTGGGAGTATATCTGATATGATGGAACAGTGCAGGAACTTGTGACATTGATACAGGGCAGGACCAAGAAAATGGGATCTTATCACGTGCAGCCTTGCCCCCAGGATTCTGACTTTGGCTCTTGGAGAAATGAACAAGGTTGAAAGACTTTTGAGCAAAGGAGAGACATGCTGTGACATTGTTTAGTGGCATCACTTAAGCTGTTGTGAAGAGATCGATGTTTCAGGGCAAAAGCAAAAAAGGAGGTCAGTTAGGGAGTTACAGCTATAGTAAACAGTGACTTGGCCCAGGAGTAGCAGTTGTGGTGGAAGGAATAATCTAAATCTATAGGCTTTGAAAGTACAATGTGACATCTTCATGTTTGGGAGGTATGTAAGAAAACGTAGCCTCAGCATGATGTTCAGACTTGAACCTTGAGCCACAGGAAAACTGGCATTGTGGAGAAGACTCAAATAGAGACATATCAGGAAGTTTTAAACAGAGGATGAGAGGATTGCTTGTGGACATGACAAAATTGGATGTATCTGCTAGATTTCAAGATGGAGACACTGGGAAGGCTGATATGCAAATAGGGGCTCAGAGGTGAAGGAAGGACTAGAGATAAATTTGGGAAGTGTCAGAAATGGCTTATAAAATTTTGAAATTGAATGATATTTCCCTAAGGAAAAGGATATGTGTAGAAAAGAGAAGATGTCCAAGGAATGAGCCCAAGCATTTTTCATTTCAATGTTAAGAAGCAGAAGAGGCTGGATGCTATTGGTTCATACTTGTTATCCCAGTTACTCAAGTGCCTCAGATCTGAGGATTTGTGGTTCCAAGCCAGGCTGGGCAGAAATTCTCAAGACTCTTAAATCTAACTAATCAGCAAAATGTCAGAAGTGTAGGTGTGGTTCAAGTGTCAGAGTGGCCAGGAGTAAGCAAAAAGGCTAAACAAGAGTGCAAGACCTTGAGTTCAAGCTCCTATTCTGACACAAAAGGAAGGAAGGAAGTTAGGAAGGAAGGAAGGAAGAAAGGAAGGAAGAAAGGAAGGTAGGGAGGGAGGGAGGGAAGGAGGAGAGGAAGAAGAAGATAGAAGAGGAGCTTCCAACATCAGACTCTCTGAGAATGGGTAAAAAGTTGGACAAGAAATGCACTTATGTACATTTTGTACTTATGTACACTTTGTACATTATGTACTTATGTACCTTACTTATATAACTATAACTCCTCTGTACATCACCTTGACATTATTAAAAGAACAATAGAGATAGGATTAAGTTTTAAAAAAGCCAGAAGCCTGGATTCCTAGAAGTCTGAGGAACAAAGAGTGTGGTTGAAGGAGAGGCTTGCCATGTGCTGTGAACTAATTAAGCAGTCCAGTGGAGATAGTTAGGAATATTGCCAAGTTCTTTTACTCCTCTTCTGGGAGGTTGATAGCCAAGTATGAAATAAAACAGAAAAGGCTGGATCCCAGTAAGATGATTCACATAGTCCAGAAATTTTGCTTTAACATAGAAATAAAAGGTAACAAGGGAGTAAGGTGGGGGCCAATAGGAATTACCTATAAGAAAGGGAAAGTAGAATGGAGGAGAGAAGAGGAAGATTACTAGGGTAGGATTCAGGGTAAAACAGGCAATTTTGTTTGGCCAGTTGTAGGGCATGAACTATGGCCTGGGCACTGTCCCTGAGCTCTTTTGCTCAAGGCTAGCACTCTACCACTTTTAGCCACAGCTCCACTTCCAGTTTTTGAGTGGTTAATTAGAGGTAAGAGTCTCAGGGGGACTTTTCTGCCCGGATTGGCTTTGAACCGTGATACTCAGATCTCAGCCTCCTGAGTAGGTAGGATTACAGACATGGACACCCTGCTAAAACAGATATTTTCAGTCTTAAGAGTTGGCATCAGATAGGACAGTAAACCTATAGCATAAGAGGTATGGCAGAGGAAAGGACAGAAGTAAAAATATTGGCAGATGGGGTTAGCCAAGTGTGTGGAATTTAGGTTCTGGTGTGTGTGTGTGTGTGTGTGTGTGTGTGTGTGTGTGTGTGTGTGTGTGTGTGTGTGTGTGTGTGTGTGTGTGTGTGTGTGTGTGTGTGTGTGTGTGTGTGTGTGTGCGCGCGCACGCGCTTAAGAAAGAAGAAAGATCATCGTGTGAGGTTAAAAAAGGTGTTGGATATTTAAAGGAAGAGAGAAGGAAGTTGTGAACCAGTGATCTAAAAGAGCAAGAAAATAGTTAAGAGTGAAGAATAAAAGGATGCCTGGTAAGAAATCTAAAAGGCTTGGTAAAAATTCAAAGTGAGAAATATAAAGTGAAACCAGGGAAATTTTCCATAGCCCTAGTCAGTTTCAAGGTGAAGGTATGGAGCATGTAGAACAGGATTTCACCAAGATCATGGTTTTACCAAAGGAGTGTGTCCTGGCAGGGTAAGGAGCCAGTAAGTCAGAGGTGGTGCAAGTGAATCATGATAACCATGGAGTACACCACTCATTCGGGGCAAAGAATGTGAACCCAGGGAATGAGTGAGGGAGCAAGGGACAGGGGGAAGACAGCCGAGTCCAGGGAATGTTGGAGTCAGAGCCTGACAGGAAATGAGCTGGAAGAACACTAGTGGCCACTGCCCTTTAGCTGGTGCATGAAACGGAATCATGAGGGTGGTGGTTACTGGTAATACAAGGTCTGAGAATGGCTACCAGAGCTTTGCATGCTTAAGAAAAGTAGGACAAGATCACTGGAGGAGAAAGGGGAAAGGAACTCAGAGGCCAAGTTAGTGGAAGGATCATTTACTTCTATTGAAATAATTACATGCTATTTCATATGCCTGGAGAATGTTGGGAAATTTACAGTAAGCCAGGTGCCATATCCACAAAGGAGTGAGTTCAGCATTATCGGCATAGGATGCAGCCACCAGAGGGGGCGATTTTGATAAGTCATTCAAACTGGAGACTAAGCCACATAAATGGTAAAGCAGCTAGGAGAACACCTGTCCCCACTCCGGTCTCACAGGAAGGAGGGCTGTGGGGGGAAATGAGTCAGTCTTGGATAGAGCATGGTAAGAAGGCTTATAAAATTCAGTGTAACAATGACTCTCCTTTATGGACTCTCCTTTAGGGAACATAATGTGACCCACTCTCTTCGAAGTGTCCCAGAATATGAATACTGTATTTCATAATATCCCTGAGAGTCTGGGTCTTACAAAGTGACATAACTTGCTCATATCACATTATTGAAGTGGACAGAACCAGGGTTTGAAGAAAGGTCAATCAAGACTCCATGTTTCCTGCTCACTCTCCCAAAGCACAAAAATTCAAAACAGCATCTGAGTCTCAGAACCTTAGGGGAAGGATCTGACAGCATTGAATCAATGGGTTCAGAGGTGAGAGAAAGAAAGTAGAAAAATCAGTTACTGTGTGCTGTTGATTCTTCCTTTGAGTATTTCTTAAGCCATATTTTATTTGAATCTTGCACCAGTGTAATGGGACAAAACTATTGTTGAAAGTATAGATTTCTTCTCTGTGTCAGCACCTCCCCCAAATGTAGAAGCATACTCCCATGTATACACAGCAGGAAAACTGCCAGGTGGATTCTAGATGTTAGGGGTGCTCAGTGCAGAGGTTGAAGGAAAAAGTGGGAAAGGGAGTCAGAGGCTAAGCAAATACAGGTACATTGGAAGAAGGGGTGGAGAGAGGAGAGGAGACAGGGAGTAAAGGAGGGAAAGAGGCAAATGGAGGGGGCCTGGAAGACGGGAGGTGAACAAGGTTTCAAAGACACTGAATAAACTCCAGGGTGTGTAGTAGAAATACAGAGAGTTGACTGGACTAAGGATTCCTCTTATCAGCTTTCAATAACACAAGAAAAGAATCTGAGTATTTTGTAATTAAATTGTTTTATTCAATTTTTCAGTAGATAATACATTTAGGAGGCATAGATATTTTCAAGTAGAAAAGCTTTTGGAGTAAAAAGTAAGCATTTTACCTACCCCAATACTTCCACTATCCAGTTCCCCCAGAATATAGGTTTCTCCATTAGAGTATCCTTTCTCCCTGCCACCTTCCCTCCCTGCCTCTCTTCTTCCCTCTCTCCCTTGTCTTCCTCCTTCTTTCCATCCCTCTCCCCATCTTCTTTTCCTCCTTCTCTTTCCTTTTTCCTTTTTCTCTTAAACATAAATGGTTGCATACTGAACAATCTTGCACCTGTTTAAAAATAATCTTACATTGCAGCATTACTCACAATATCCAAGACAGGAAAAACTGATGAAGAAAATGTGTTATTATGTACAGTTGAATAATATCAGCATTTTTTTAAAAAAGAAAATCTTAACATTCGTGACAATAGATATGAACATTGAAGCTATTAGGCTAAGTGAATCAGATACAAAAAGCTAAGTGCAGAGTGGGGAGCATGGCTCAAGTGGTAGAGCACCCACATAGTAAGTATGAGGCCCTGAGTTCAAACCTCAGTACTGCCAAAAAAAATATTACTGCACTTAGATGAGAAACTCAAAGAAGGCAAATTCAAAGACAGACAGCAGGATGGTATTTTCCAGGGTGTAGAGATAGGGACACTGGAGGTTGTTTGACTGTGGAGTTCCTGTCATACTGGATAGGGACATTCTTCAGAACTGTTATACAACAAAGTGTATATTCATGACAATATCATATTGGATACTTGGAACCTGTTAGGAGGGTGAATTTGACATTATGTGTTTTTTTGTAAATCAAAATTCAAAAATTACCTTAATTTGCTCCCTTTGGTGCAATTAAAACTAAAATAAAACAGCTCAGATTGGGGAAGGAGAGGGAACAATTGGGAAGGGGTAGAACTAACAAAGACAGTGAGTGAAAATGAATATGATCCATGTAGTTTATTTGCATGTATGAAAATAGAATGATGACGCCTGTTGGAAGTTTTAAGAAGAGGGGCTTGGGATGTACAAGTGTGATAGAGGAGGCCAGGTTGATCAAGATGGATTGTGTACATGTGTGGAAATGTCTCAGTGAATTCTCCCCTCTCTCAAATACAGCTGATAGATGCTAATAAATAAAACTTAAATTACGATAAGGGTTGTTCTATATCAATCATTTTACAAAATAGCATCACAGCATTTCAGTGTGAAAATGGATCATCATTCAGTCATTTTGCTGCTGATTGAGGAATACTGTTTCCAGTCTCTTTCACTGGACCAAGGCTAAATTCTTGAAAACTTGAAAATATCAAAGGAGTTAGACTCACATTTGCTTTGCTGGATTTCTTTTCCTTAGCCACAATACAATTCTGAGATGGGCACATATTCCCTAGATACATTAGATTATATTCTTTTTCTGAACCTTTGTTCAATCTAGACTCATACCTTGGAAGGTGTTTTACTTGACTTACCCAGACCCTCCTCCTTACTCTGAAGCCAGTTTAACATTAGGCCAAGGGTGCTTCTCAGACCATATGCATATTTCTCTTTTCTGAACCCAATGGCATTTTCTATCTTCATTCATTGGGATTTGATCCAAACTTGGACTTCAGATATTATAGATTGGTAAGACCATGCTAATGGTTAAAACTTTAAAATACTACCACTCCTACTGGTAAATTTAGCTTCTTTGGACCCCTGAGACCTGTTCTATACATCCTACCCCTTCCTTGAATCCTCCTTCCCACAGCCTCATTATAAAGCAAGTGGCTAACACCAACCATAAGGTGAACTCTACCCCACTTATATCCTGTCTTTAATATTTTGAACATGCTATATACTGAATATGCTCTGGCTTTCTAAAGTAAGCATTCCATGGATGGGAACATGTCTTCTACTTCTTTGGTATTCCCCATAACATCTGTTTCATGAAAGATCATATAGCCAGAAGCCTGGTACCAGTGGAGTGACTCATATCTGTAATCCTAGCTACTTAGGAGCCTGAGACCTGTTTGGAGTCAGCCTAGGCAGAACAGTCCAAGAGACTCCATCTCCAAAATAATCAGCAAAAAGCTGGGAGGATGAGTGGCTCAAGTAGTATAGTGCCATCTGTGAGCCACAAGTCTGAGTAAAGCACAAGGACCTGAATTCAAGCCCCAGTACTGACACACAGGAAAATAATAAAAGAAAAGAATAAAAGAACGGTGACAATCTGGAGGAGCAAAGGTACCATCCTTCAGAAGCACATGTACCCCCTGGACTGGTAGGAAAATTTGCATGCTTTCCAGAAGGTCTAAATGGTCCAAGAATCTTTTCTGGGCAGCCCTCAGGAATCTCTTGCACACTAGACACTTGTATGGTGCTGTTCAAGCACTACACAATCAACAACCCGATCTTCCTCTGGGCAACTCCTCTAAATGCCTGCTGGACATTTCCAAAACGCTGCTCCATTTCTGCATGCACAGGGCTGCAAAGTTTCATAGATGAATGAGGTATAAGAAAAAAAAAAATCAAAACCAAACCACCTCCCTTAAACTCCTCTGCAGAATTAAACCTTTCGTCTCCTTAACCCATAGATCCATTAGTAACATCCCCTAATTGACTACTTCGGGTCCTTACCCCTTTTTGATGGACAGGAGGAATTAAGAAAACATACTTAAAAAGTAATGGAGCCAAGCAATTCTTCAAACTCTAGTCTTTCCCCCTTCCCCCTTTGGCTAAAATCCACTCCTGGGTTCTCAACTTGCCTCTACTCTGGTCTAACAGGTCAATCAAGACAACCAAGCCCCAGATGTGTTCTGGTTTGTTTTCCATCCAGCTCTGCCCTTCCGCTGGGTCTCTGGCTCTGCCCTCTACCCCCATCCCAAAGTTCTCTCAGGACTCCAGAACTGGGCTCTCAGTCAGCATCCTGGACCCCTCTGCCTCTGCCCCCGCCCCTTGGCCCGCCCCTAGGCCCCGCCCATCTGTCTTGCCCCGCCCTCGCCGCAGGCTCCACCCCCTCCTCCCCCCGGCCCAGGTCTAGCCGGCGCTGGGCGGCCGACCCACCCTCACCTCAGAGAGCAGCGCGGCCAGGTGCTCCAGAGGCGCTGCGGGCAGGTCCCCGCAGAGCACCGCGCCGCGGAGACTACTGGATCCTGGAGGCTCGGGCCTGGTGCGCAAGAAAAACATCCCCTTCGCGCGAGCCGGGCCTGGCTCGGATCCGGCCTCCAGCCCGGGTCGTACCGCCAGGCCCCCGGGCCCGGGCCGCACCACCAGCAACGGCCGCGGCCCTTCAGCGGCATCGTGGCTGAGGAAGGCTTGGAGCAGCTGCTCCACCTCGGCTGTCCCCGCGCAGCGCTCCCACACGCCCGCCGCCGGCCGCAGGCTCTGAGCCACGTAGGACCCCAGGAGACGCAGCCTCGGGTCGCCCTGGGGCTCATCGTCAGCGTTCTGCGCGGGCAGCGGCGCCCGCTCCTCAGCGCTCGGCATCGCTGGGTCCCGGAGCTGCATTCGTTTCCCTAGCGACGGGGACGCGGCTAGGACGTCCCTCCTCTGCTCTCTTCTTATTGGTCAATTGGCCCCTGGGCCCGCCCCTTTCAGGCGAATAAGGTAGGCGAGGAACAGCGGGAAGGGGCGGGTCGCGTCGGTGTTGCTAGGAAACCAGAGGGGTTGTCCTTGGTCTGATTGATTGGTAGGGCTCAGGAGGACTGCAGGGCAGCGTTGGTTGTGGGAGGGCCACTTGGAGAGGACAAGCGAGTAAGTGCGGTGAAGAATCCCAGGATCCTTGCTGGCCAAGGTCAGATGCAATTGCATAATTGCATCTATCCTAAATGTGTAATTCAAGAACTCAAGCCCAATACCAAGTCATAAACTAAATGTAAAGAAAGTCAATGCAGAAGCCTGGACTGGCTCATGCCTGTAACCCAGCTACTCAGGAAGCTGAGATCTGAGAATTGCCCTTGGAAGCCAACCTGAGGCGCAAAGTCTGTGAGACTCTGATCTCCAATTAACCAGCCCCAAACCCTGAGTTCAAGCCCCAGCATTGGCACAAAAGGAAGAGAGAGAGGGAGGGATGGAGGGAAAGAAGGAGGGAATGGAGGACGTAAAGGAGGGAGGGGAAGAAATCTATACAGAATGATGACGGAGAGGGTGGTTTTGATCAAGATGCATTGTATACATAAGTGGACATAGTAAAAGAAGCACACTTGTACTGCTAATTGATGCTAATAAAAGAATATGTCCCTGTAGTAAAAATAATTACAGCAAGCAAAAAAAGAAAATAAATAAAGCTAATGCCCTCTTTATTTCTATTCCACGATAAGTACTTTAGAATTCTGCTGTCCAATAAAACTCTTTGTAATATCTGTGAGCCACAGGTGAATTACAAAGAACATGAAAGATACTGGTGGCTCTCAGGAGTTGAATTTCTAATTGTATATAATTTTTCGATTAATTAGGCACATATGGCTAATGGTTTATTACATTGTGTAGCTCAGCTTCAAAAACTGAATATTAATTATTTTAAACGTTTTTAGTGCCTTGCTTTGCTATGTTTTAGACATGTGCTTCATCTGCCAAAAAGGAAACATTCTCTGAGGTCATTTTGATTTCCATGGAGGTGGCCCCAGTGGGGTCTTTTTAAATGTACCAAAGCCCTCATAAATATACAGGTTGCTCAGAGCCTCCCCATTCTGTGCTATAGACAGAATTTGTCTTCAAAATGGGATAATGTGAAGAAGAACCTCGCCCAACCACATGTTACCTACAGAGTCTTTCTCCATGATCAGGATAAACAGTTTGGCCCTTTGCATTCAGGGAAGGTGAGGACGTGTGGGTACCATGGAAGTGCACAACCTAGCATGAAGGCTGCAAGTAGCTCCTTTTTGTCCCTCTCTGCTCTCTAATTCTAGTCACCTCCCAGAGCCTGCAGAGTTTCTAGGTAAAGCGAATACTTATAATAGGATTCAGAAGACTGTTAACCAAATAGCACTTATCAAAGGCAGCGTGGCAAATGAGAGCCCTTCAGGAAAACACCAATGGCTGGAAGGTGAGATGATTGATTTCATAATAATTGGACAATTGACATTACTGTGATGAAAACTATTAACATTAGCAAATGGATCTTTGCATCTGTAAAGAGTGTTTCATCATTGTGGCATTAAACAATAAGTAAACCAATTATGAGGGAAGGAGAAAAGTGGAGCAGTAAGATGGCTTTTAAGATGAATTCAGTAATTGACATTTCCCAAAACACATTAGGATAAAACAAAAATGCCAGAAGGTTCTTACATATTATCATAATTTAATTTATTCTTTTGGCCATTAGAAAGCATCATTGTCATTTGGTGCCTTGGGCTTCAAGTGTGTCAACCTTGTTCATGTTCTGTGTACAGAGTGAATTCAGAACCATCCATTTCCTATAAAAATCTTCAAATAAAAATCTGTGCTACCTCCACCATAGCCTTCCTTGTTCTTAATCTCTTTTGCCCTTAAGCTTTATATTCTCCAACATGCATACAAAGCAGAAGCAAAGGATCCCATGAAGATGCTTGTTGGAGGGTAAAGGTTCCTAAACCCAGTTTTTGTTTTTTATCATGAAATACATTCTCTCCATATTCAAAGTTGATGTAGGTAGGGGATGGATGGTTATCTCTATAGGCTTTATTAAAAACAATTGAATTTTCTTTATATTTTATAGCTACAATAAAAATAAAATGACTTGTTATCAGCTGTCTGTTGCTGTGTAACAAATGACCCCAACATTTAATAACTTAAAATAGAAGTAAGTGCTTGTAGTCTCACACATTTATAGTAGGTCAGGAATTTAGGAACAAATTAACTGAGTAGCTATGGTCCATGGTCTCCATGATGTTACAGGCAAAATCTCACTGGAGAGCTCCATCATCTGAGAGTTTGACTGGGCTTGACAGAGTCAGTTGCAAGATGGCACACTCAGATGGCTGGCAGATCAGTGATAGCTGTTGGCTTGCAGGCTTCAATTTCCTGCCATATATTGCTTTCTTTTGGGGGCATGAGTGTCCTCGTAACATGGCAGATAGCTTCCTCCATACCAAGTGACCTAAGAGAGAACAAGACGGAAGCTGCACTATCTCTTATGACTTAGCTTTGAAATTCACACACTGTCACTTCTGCAATATCTTATGAGTTACAAAGGTCTGCCCTGTTCAGTGTGACAGGGAATGACATAATGATGAGAATACAGGACATAAGAATCATTAGGAATTATGTCAAAAGCTGGCTCCTACAAAAGCTGTTAACAGAGGAATTTGTATATGACGCTTAAGTAATTTTTGGTTTTAAAATGAGAGAAGAATTTGTTCTATAAGCATAACATTTTTATAATCAGATTTTTTGTTTGAAATATGGGTGAATAATTCCTGTTTAAGACTTTCAGTAATGATTTCTTTAAATTCTGGACCATTGCCAATGACAAGAAGTTTGCTCACACAAGCAATTAATTCTAAATTTAAAGGCTTTTTACCATTATTCAAAAGTTAGCAGTTGACATTATGTATAGAGAATCTAATAGTCTTTCTTTTCTTCCTTGCCAAATGTTATATTCAAATGTCTTACAATCCTGTGTACATATTGAATCTAAATCAGCCTTTTCCTATCAAATATTTCAAAGTAAAGAGGAAGTACTAATTCAGAGAATATGTGTGTGTCATCAGAATATGTTCCCTGCAGCCATCTTGGAAATCTCCAAATGAGGACCAGATACAAATGGGGAAATAAAGGTGGATAGAGGCATAGAAGGGAGTTCAGGTTACCTGTGATTCCATCCAGGACACATGCACAAGAATGTCAATGGTAATGTTGGCCATGATAGCCAAACAATGAAAGAAAACTAAGTGTCTGTTAACAGTAAAATGTTAAATATTTTCGGGTGCTGGTGGCTCACGTCTGTAACCCTAGCTACTCAGGAGGCTGAGATCTGATGATCACGGTTCAAAGCCAGCCCGGGCAGGAAAGTCCGTGAGACTCTTATCTCCAATAAACCACTAGAAAACTGGAAGTGGCTCTGTGGCCCAAATGGTAGAGTGCTCGCCTTGAGCTGAAGAGCTGAGGGATAGCGCCCAAGCCCAGAGTTCAAGCCCCACGGCCGACAAAAAAAAAAAAAAGTTAAATATTACACATGAGATAAATTACTACACAGCAGTAAATATGAATGGACTATAGCCATATGTATCACCATGGATAAAGATAAAAAACAATGCTGCACAAAAAAGTTAAGTTGCAGCCAAAGACATTTGGTGTTATCTTTAGAAGATTTAAGCCAAAATGAAACAAACTTTTGTTAGAGCAACATACTTATCTAGTAATTGAAAGAAAAGTAAAATTCAGGTTTTGATCACTCCTCAGTGTACCAAAGAAGCACATATTGGGCCAAAGAAGCACATATGGGTCATTTAAGTTTGCTAAATCTCTTTCCTTTCTCCTCCCCTCCCCTTCCCTTTCCTCCCTTCTGAACCTCTACCCTCACTTCTCTTTCTTTCCCCTCCCCTTTCTTCTCCCCTCCCTTCATCTCTTCTTCTCTTTCCTCTATTCTCTCAACTCCCCCTTTCTCTCTTCTTTTCCCTGCCATCCTTCTCTCTCCCTCCCCCACTTCTCTCTCTCTCTCTCTCTCTCTCTCTCTCTCTCTCTCTCTCTCTCTCTCTCTCTCTCTCACTTGCTTGCTTGCTCTCTCTCTCTTTTTACCTGAGACAATCACTAGCCCCAGCTGGACTTGAAATCATGATTTTCCTGCCTATGCTTAGATTACAGATTTGCATCACCATTTCACCCAGTTATAATGTTTCCTCTTCTGTCCCCTCTCTGTTTCCCTCCCTTCCTTCTCTTCCTCCTCCACTCCCCTCTTACTCTTTGCCAGCAATGGAGTTCGAACTCAGGGCCTTACATTCTCATTCAGCTTTTTTTTTTTTTTTTGCTTATGACTAGTGCTCTACCAGTTGAACCATGCTTCCAGTCTGGTATTTTGCTGGTTAATTGGAAATGGAAACTCACAGACATTTCTTCCTGAGCTGGCTTGGAACCATGATCCTCCAGGTCTCAGCCTCCTCAGTAGCTAGGATCACAGGATTGAACCTGTGCCCAGCTATAATGTCTTATTTCTTAATTTGGATTATGGTCTTTGGTTTTTAATATTTTAAAAAAACTATACACATATATTATGCAATTCTTTGTGTACCTCTATTAAGTGCAATAAAAAATAAGGTTGACGTGGTGGCATATACTTGTAGTCCCAGCATTTGAGAGGTTGTGGTAGAAGGATTCTGAATTCAAGGTCAGCCTGAACTATACATTAAGACCCCAACTCAAATAAATGAATGAATGAATAAATAAATGGTAAACAGATCATTTTATATACTCTATTATAGGGAGAATTAATTCCATTTGCCATACGAAATGTATTATTACATATTTTCATGGTCATAATTTAATTATAAAATTATAATCAAAGATTTTAGAACTTAAAAGCTTATTTTCTTCAAATTCAATGATCACAGTTCAGCTT